ACAAGAACCTACCATCATTGTGATGTCTCCAGACCATTCCCAATGGTCTAGCTGGTATTCCCAGTGGAAGAAAGGCTCTAGCAAGAGACTTTCGATTCTTAAATTTTGTGAATCTATAGCAGATCACCAGATGAAACTTGGACGATACTTCGTTCTAGAGAATCCTTATTACAGCAAACTCTGGTCCACGCCAGAGGCCAAACGGTTGTTTTCTAACCGAAAGGTTAGCTATGAAGTGTGCAATCTACAGGCCTATGGCATGCAAGATCCAAAAGGATACTATGAGTCAAGATCGTCGATCTTCATGCATAACCTGCCACAGCAGGTGTTAACTCCGATACATAGGAATTGTCCCAAGCCGAAATCTCCGACTTCTTCACCCAAAGGTGAAATGGGTATTCAAGGCTACGGTCTTAAAACTAAGCTGGCACAGGTGTATCCGTACGAATTTTGCGAGACCTTTGCCTCATGCATGGCAAGGTTTCTGCGCCGGGATTCGTATGCATCGCATCTTTCCCTGCTTACTGATATCTTGCAGTACTCAGGAGACGAATGTCTCCATGGATTGTGTGACCTGCTCGATCAAGAGTATTCTCTTTTAACAATTAATCCTCTCAAGGATTCTAAATTGCTGCAAGATCCAAAAATCCGATCACTTGTGACCAGGGTTAATTCTCTCTCGAGTAAAACTGAGTTGCCACTGCATCATTCCAAACCATCACCGTCCCTTGATGCGTTGGTCTCAGATATTACTCACCTGAGATCCAGACTCTTGCCAGGATCTGGTTTTGAGCAATGTACTCTTTACAGAGGCACTTTTGGAACAATGAAAGCACTAACAAGTGTTACTGATGGCGTCCTTGTTTTCTGGAACAAGAAGCGACCAAACCAGACAATCACCTGCTGTCTTCCGCATCAGGTGTCGTGGAACAAAATGCACCCAACAACATTCTCGGGGGTGCTGTTTCAAATGACCGGTTGTAAATCTTCACCTTCTGTCCGACCTCCACCGGATGTCATTATGTCTGAAGAAGAAGTCTCGCCATCAGACCCGTCAGAGCCAATGAGTACCAACAGGTCTCGCGTGACGTCTGACGATGCCTCAATGCCAGAGCCAGATCACCCTATGCCTCCTGGCGTTCCTCCGTCGCGTCCTCCTCCTCCCTTACCTCCACCGCGACTTCCGGCCGTTTCCTCCGATGAGCCCGTGGCTCCTGCTCGGGCTAAACCTCGCCTACATCCGCCTCCTCGCGAGCCGTCTCCTCGGCGTCTGGGGGGTGATGTGTCGCCAAGGTCTTCATCGGAAAGGAAGGTTTCGCCGCACAAACAGAAGTCACCTCCACAAGTGCCTACTCCAAAGCCTAAGCCAAAGGCGGCACCGCAACAGTCAGGACCGATTCTCCCATTGCAACAGGATGAAGGAGAATCCTCTGAAGAGATGGTTCCCGATCCCGGACAACCGTCCGTCCTTCCTCACACGTCAGGTTCCCCTGAACCGGAGAGTGATGCTGAGTCTGACGATACGAGGTACTACTCTGATGAGGAAGGTGATCTTGTTGTGGATGAGAAGGACTGGATTCTTCTATCTGAAGAACAGAAACTGTGCAGTAACACAGGATCCTTCTCGATGCCGCGCTATATGCATGGCGGCCCTGTGGACATCAGAGAGGTAACCTCAAGAGTGAGATCGGACCGAAACACGGTACAGACCTTCCAAGAAGATTCGATCCGATATCCGTGAAGAGTACGATCTCTTAACGGAAGAGGATAAAGCCTTATCCGTGAGTCCTTATAGGAACTCATCCAATCTTACCCAGAAGGCACAACGGAAGGAAGCGACCGCTAGGAGAAGCGAGAAATGAAGAAGCAGTTCGACGAAGCAAAAGCAGCTGAGTATTAAAGCTGGCTGGAAAGTCCTTGATCTGGTCCAAGTAGAGCTGGAGATTGGCACGGTTGCATGTCTCGATTCAAGTCGGTCGTACTTGTGCTTCCGCTGCATGATGCTTAGGAGCTCCGACGCCGAACTTGACAGCACCTTCTGGGCAACCGCGCCGGCAATGGCGGCATAGACCGAAGACATTGCTTAGAGATCGCTAAGCGCGCCCCGCAAGGAACTCGAGAGCTTCAATGGCTGCTCCCCACCAACAAATGCAAAACACTCCACGTTACAAGGCTTCGGCAAGGTTCAGGCGGCCCAAGGTCCAGGTCCAGGCGATAGAAAGTTGAGAAAGAAGCCGTCGCCGACGCGGAGAACCTGCAACAGCGGGACACACCGAAATCAGGCTCTCGCCGGTGCGTGGTCGGCTCGCAAAACGGCCGGCTGTCGGAAGCCGTTGGGGGCGCACCCTCCCCAAGCGGCTCAAAATCCCGAAAAATTGGGTGCGTGGTGTTTCAGGGCATGCGTGTTGTGATTGATGCTGTCAATGTAGAAATAGATTTGACGTGCTGGAACGCCACGGAGAAGCCATCTTGTGCAGCTGCTGGATCTGTAGTCGGTGGGCTGGAAGCACTCTGCAAGCTTATGCTCGTGCGACCGCACCGGCAAGCGCTGAGAGAGACCGGCTTTTCGTGAGATTGTACAGGAAGTTTCGAAGTTTCAGAAGTGGGAAGTGGTCGACGAAGTTCGACAAACTTCCGAAAGTAATTCACCTCCTGGGATCCAAGCCAGATTTTTTTTTCCAGCCAGAACGGCCAGGAAACCATTAATTCCATCAATTCCATCAATCGACTCTTCTGGGTTAAAAGACAACCACAACAACTAAAATCGGGCTGGTGGACTTTGGCGAAAACTTGATTTGCGAAAAACCAAAGACAACATCAGCGATTGATGGGAATTGATAATTTCTTCGTGAAATATAAAACCCGGTTTTCGCTGCTATTTAGCACAACTTTCGCGCGGTTCGAGATGTGCGCTCTCTCTAGGAAGGGTGTTCCCACTCCACTCTGTGATAGCTACAAGCATCAGTTGAAGACATAAACGTGCTTTTGGCAACTTACTAGCAACTGATGAGCACTCGCCAGCAGCTTGCGAGCTATTTACGAGCACTCCAGCCACAAGCGACTTTCGAGCCGCAAGCTGCTCCCACGCTCCCGAACAAGCGCACGTAAGCGCGCGTCGAACAGCTCCGAAGAGCGGAACCCTCGTGCTCAGTGCTTCCGATGCCGCACGCCCGTTTTCCAGATCGGGAGCCCTGCGCCTCCAGCCTCAAAATCGATTTCCATTTTTGGGTGTCAGTGACTTCTAAATGAGATTTGGTTCCTTGAGAGCAGTTTGCCAACCTTCAGTTAATCGTGCAAACTTGTCTTTCGGATGTGCTGCCATCCTAGAATCGATCTTGAGGCCTCTATGTGCTGGCTGTGATGTACGGTATGCTGGTTGATGTTTTTTTGGGGATGGGTTCTAAGTGTTTCTATTTTTAAATCGTTGGCAGAACAAGTGCTGCTTGCAAGACCATTTGAACTTTGCCCGTGTGTGCAAATTCTGAATTTTTTTTGTTTGCTGAACAGTTCATGTCTGAAATCGGATTCCACAATCTTTCCAGCATGAATAGTTTTTGCTTAAAGCTCAATATTCTGAGAAATTTGCAACTTCAGACTTAAAAATCTGGAATATGAAAAACTTTGGTTTGAAAATTTCAGCCCAGCTTCTTCTTTTTATGCGATTCTTTAAATTTCTTACAACCGACTCTTTCGTGATTGTTTTGTTTGGAGCATAGGTTCTTTTTTGATTTTATTTTTTGTTTTGTGTGGTTTCTAGTTCTAATTGTTTTAAAAATTCATTCCTTTTTGCACCTCTTATTGCAGCAGCAAACGTGTCAAGTAACACTGTTAGGCGTAAAGCAGTGGCATGCAGACCACGAGAACGCGCAGCTGTGAACGTCCTCAGCTAAGACTGTCCCTTTGAACTTCGGCTGCACAGAGTTGTAGCCAGGGTTTCCCGACCCAAACCACCCAGAAGACGGATCTGGCAGACTTTTGCTTTTTGATTTTGTCTCAGAGATTTGCTTTACTCCGCGGCGACATCCTCTTCAAAAGGCTGCAAGCGTACTGAGGCAAGTTCGAGGAAGCTCTGCAATGCACCTCTTATTGCAGCAGCGAATGTGTCAAGCACTACCAGGCGTAAAGTAGTGGCATGCAGACCACGAGAACGCGCAGCTGTGAACCTCAAGATTTGAACTTGCCTGCACAGGGTTGTAGCCAAAAATGCCATGAAGATTCTGGCCTGGGAAGTAGCCCAAAGGGATATGGACACGACTACAAACTTGACCGGTTTCTTGCAACGAGGTCCATGGCAAGGCTCCGACGCAATAAGTAGGCATTTGATTCGTTACAGGTTGAAACTTTGCATAGCGAGTCTCCTGGACACCGGGGAAGTGCACGTCACGAACATGTGCTTATCCGCCTTGAACTGACTTAAGTCAGCTCTTCTAGAACATATCCCGCAGAAGCCCAGTGCAGCACAGCGATCGGGCGCAGGACCATGTAGGGTGGCTTGCTTCCTCACGCGTCTCAACACTGTGCTCGCCCCTGACTTCTGCTGGAGTGGCGGTTTCCACAAGAGCCAAAGACTTGAAAATAGCCGCAGCGAGGCTATTCGTGCTGATGATGTTGACCTTCCTTCCCGGGCTGGAACGTGTAATCCAGTGAAGCTCATCTCAAGACTTGGCATATGGTATCTCGAATGCGGCGGTCGTTTTTCCTGAACAGCCGATGGGCAAACCTTTTGCAACTGTTGCTGCTGCGCAGCGGCCGGAGTATGTACGCTTGACTGTCCGAGAGCTCCAATGCGGCAAGCTTCGACTCAGACGTCGCGTGCACGCTGTGGCAAGTGTGTTTGCTTCCGGAAAGTCCTCAGGTCGTCAACGTGAGATCTGGGACGGTTCTGACGTGTCACAGCAGGCAGCTCCACCGCCGAGGCCGCGGCGCTTAACCTGCTGTCACAGTCAGGGAACTTTTGGAAGCAGGCCTGAGTCTGGACGTGGTGCGTGCTTCGTGCGACGATGGCGATAGCGAAAGTTTCGCCATGGACACGCGCCTTCCCTACCAGTTTGGTTTGGCCAATGGGTTTTTCTTGGTCATCAGCGGTGGCTCAGGACACTACCTTGGCTACCTGCGTACAAGCCGGCATTCATGAAACTTCGATTCTGAGTCCAGACCATGATCCTCCGGCGTGCCAAGACGAACTGGTGTTGGTGGCAACTGACGACACGGTGCTCTTCCACCGGGATGTCGCCCGCGGCAAGAAGACCCTTCAAAGCTTGGATGCTGCTTTCCGTGCCAATGGTATCCCGCGCAACTGCGCGAAAGACGTAACACTTGCGCCTGAAATCACAGCTCTTGGATGCGAACTCAGCAGTTCACCTCCTGTCGCCGAGCCGGTTGCAGGTCGTTTAGGCAAGGCCATCCAGAGGACTGTGGACTTGTTGCGCACAGGTGTAGCCAGCCCTCGTGGTCTACACGCTTTACTTGGTGTGTGGGAATGGTTCGCTCTCCTGCAACGAGGCTTTTTCAGCATATACAAGGACAGCTACGACTTCGTGGTGCAAACACCCGAGCATGAGCCCGCACGTCTGCCGAACACTGTGCTGACAGAATGTCTGGTGACCTTGCTACTTTCACCGCTGCTTTCTGCCGGGCTGGACCGTTTGCCATTGAACACGCTCATCGCCGCGGATGCCAGCCCCGACTTTGGATTCGGGGTGGTCGCAAGCCCCTGCTCAGCCACTGTGGCTTCCGAGGTGTGCAGACTGGCCGAGCGGCGTGGAGACTTCGTGCGTTTAACACAAAGTCCTGGCGACCCAGTCGAGCTTCGGAGGCTAGGGAGCGTTGGAGCGCACATTCTGGGGTACTTGAGGTGCATGGTTATCTGCTGGGCCTAAAATGGGCTGCTCGTGATCCTCGCAAACACCACAGCAAGCTGCCTTGTTTGGTGGATGCCAAAGCCGTCGTGGGTGCGGCAGCGAAGGGCCGCAGCTCTGCTCGCACTTTTCTGACAGTGTTGCGCAGTGCTGCAGCGTACGGTTTGGCTGCCTATTTTTTGCCAGGATTATCTACATGCGCAACGAATCTAATCCCGCAGATGCCCCTTCGCACGGCATGCGCCGGAGGCGAGGAGCGACATGGAAAGCAACGACCTGCACGAGCCCGTCGCCTTGCTCACACGCTTGAACAGTTCTTCGAATTCAAAGAGGGTGCCGCTGTCGCTCTGTTCACACAAGCCGGGCATGTTCTGTGTCAGCAAGGCTGTTCGGGGTTTTCGCTGACCTACAGGCAGCTGCTGGAGAAGCTGTTTGCTGCTTGTGTGCATGTGGGCCTCCGCGATCGGCTCCAGTCGCGACGTTCTTTTTCTTCTCTTCTTGCTGTGGAGCGGCCGGCCAAACTGGGCCACTTCTTGCTCCTCGCAGGTTGGTTTTCATGCATGGCACTTTATTAACAGTATTGGCGGCGAAGCTTCGCTTTCACCAGTGCGGTGGTTTTGGGCTTTTCCAGAAGACGGATCTGGCAGACTTCGCTTTTTGATTTTGTCTCAGAGATTTGCTCTACTCCGCGGCGACATCCTCTTCCAAAGGCTGCAAGCGTACTGAGGCAAGTTCGAGGGAGTGGAAGCTCTGCAATGCACCCCTTATTGCAGCAGCGAACGTGTCAAGTAGCACTGCCAGGCGTAAAGTAGTGGCATGCAGACCACGAGAACGCGCAGCTGTGAACGTCCTCAGCTGCGGCTGCTGTGTTGGCTCCGGTCCCCAAGATTTGAACTTCGCCTGCACAGGGTTGTAGCCAAAAGTGTTTCCCGACCCAACCCACCCGTTGGGCTTTTCCAGAAGACGGATCTGGCAGACTTCGCTTTTTGATTTTGTCTCAGAGATTTGCTCTACTCCGCGGCGACATCCTCTTCAAAAGGCTGCAAGCGTACTGAGGCAAGTTCGAGGGAGTGGAAGCTCTGCAATTCATTTTTTCGGATTCCCCCCCATAAAGCGATTTCGTGTGGCTTCTTCTTCTTCTTTTGTGTTCGTGATTGCGTTTTGTTTCAGCTTTCTTGGGGTGGAAGTTCGAAATTACCGTCAACCCTCACCCTGTGGTTTCAACCCCAGCTCCGGAATCCAGGGTTGGCGTGGGGGTTGACCCGAACCTGGAACCCTGGGGTTAGGGTTTGGGGTTGGGGCAACCCTGAACCCGGCTGTCTGGGGCCCAACCCACCCCCTGAGGATTTCCAGATGTTGCAAGGTTTCGGAGGCTCAAAGCTGTCTGCGTCTCGAGACCCTACAAACGACAGTTCCTCTCTGAAGCTTCCTTCTTGAAGCCCTTTTGAGCTGTCACTTCTTCAAGTCCCCTCAAGTTCAAGCTTTAAAGCTGCCCTTTTCAGACTTTTGAAGAGGAGCTTGAAGGAGAGTCTGAGGGTTTGAGCGGCGCTTGCAAGGAGGTCTAAAGGAAGGTTGGAAGAAGACAAAACCGCAGAAAGCACAAAGGTATAGCTCTGAGTCCAGATTGTTCGAATATAAGCAGACGTTCAGAATTGTTGCTCACTTGCCGTGCTTCGTGCCCTTGCAAATCAATTTTTCTTAGGCACCACAGCATTGAAGTGACACGTGGTTTCCCAGGTTTTCGCTGAAGAAAGAACCAAAAGAGATTGGTTTGTCACAAGAAAAGTGTGTGTGTGGGGGGGAGTGAATTGAAGAACGGATCGGAAGGAAATGGTGAAATGGGAAATTGGCTTGTATCGAGGATGAATGATGAAATGGTGAATGTGTGTTTTGCTGTGCAAGATACGAAATGCAGGGGATATAACATTACCCCTCTGTTTTGTGTATTTTTCTATATCTGTATTTTTTCTATATATGAACATATCTGTTTGTATGTACATAGATTTGTATATATATATATATGTCTGTATATATGTACACAAATGGTCTATATATGTACATATATATAGGTGTATAGATATATTTGTAGACATAAATTGCACATATATATATATATATATATATGTGCCGTGCGCCCCGTGTGCATTGTCAAATGTAATAGTATTCATAATAAGTTGGCTCCTATGTATATGTATATATATACCCACCTCACAGAACACCATCCACTTCACAGACGGCACCCCCCTCACCATCGAACAACATGCCAAGTACCTTGGAGTCACTCTTAGCAGCAATGGCTCCTGCCACAAAGACGTCACCACAAGGCTTGCTAAAACCCGCAAACACGTCCACTCACTACACCAATTCTGGCGCAACACGGACCTCACACTGAAGTGGAAGCTCAGAATATACGACGCAGTTTTCATTCCACTGGTGATGTACGGATTAGACTCCGCAGCGCTCACAGCCGGAGACTACCACAGACTCGAAGCATTCCACTCACAGTCCCTCATCCTTTACTGCAAAAGCACCTACTACACTGAAGTGCTCAACCCCACAGCACGCACCTACGCCAACCAGGAAGTGAGAGCACTCACTGCGCAACCACCTTTCACACACCACATCCACAAAGCACAGCTGAAGCTTTTCGGGGACGTTCTTCGATCCCATCCGAACAGTATAAAACGGAACTGCTGCTTTACTAGGTCTTTTGCGTACAGAGGAGGAACGGTAGGAGCAGGCTTCAGGCCAGGCAGGCATAAGGTCCACTGGACAAAACAGTGCCTCAAGTTACTTTGGCGCTGGCTTTTAAAGTCCTCTAGACCCCCAACCTCTCACAGCCCTACCTTCCCATAATACTCTTAGTTACAAGCTCACAGAACAGCTGTAGACCGCCATTTTGGGAGTACTCTAGTGAGGTTGCCAACGTGCAAGACACTCCTGGAAGCACTCCTACGTAGTTCTCTCACAGACCTGAGTTCTTGCGGAGTTGTTGTTGAGCAAGTTGCATAGGGCCGCCGAAAAACATATGTATATATATATATATAGATATAAACATGTGTACATGGGGATGTTCCATTCAGGAGTTCGGTTTCGTTGCCTTTGTCGCATGCGGGTGTTGTGTTGCACAGGGTGTTCTGTTGGACAGTTACTGGGTAAAGGTTATAGTGCAGCGTTGCAAGAGTGGTATAAGCTTGGGAATGCTTCAAAGCATCATGCTTTGCGGTATGACTGTTCCTGCGAGAACCGCCACGTCCGCATGATGCATCGGACCAGAGGACTGGGGGACACCGCCAACATGATCCCAAACCGCGACTCGTGTGCCGCATCACTGCTCGTAGCTTTGAGCCACTGAAGTTCACGTATGAGTTGAACAACTGGTCTTGTAGACTCATGTTGTTCACAGGCTCAACAAAAAAATTGTTGTGCATGGATGCGGCATTATCAGGAGGTTACATACACCGAGCAAATTCAGCATGGCATTGCTAAATTTTCGCAAAGGGTTGAGAATCACCTTTGCCATGTTCGCCAATGCAGCTCGCCAAATTGGGCATGGAGCTTGGCAGCCATGGGTGGCGCAAGAAGCATTGCCCTACCAAACCGATTGCCGCTGTCAGGTCGACTGCGAATCAATTTAGATGGGTTGGGCCGGTTGCTCCGTCACATTAGCAGCACAACAGTGAGTCATGAAGCTGTGCTGCCCGTTTGTGCAGGACTCACGGCTGTATGTTGCTACATATCGTAATTCCAGACGCTGCTCAGCAACTTGCGCCAGGCTGCTGTTGGGATCGGTGGCTGCATCCCAGCCTACTTTGTTTACGTATCGTGGCCTCGAGGGAAGCCATGCTCGGAAAGTGGCATGCGCCGTTTTTGATCTGTTTTTTTTCAGACCACCAGCCCAGGACCATTACGACACACAGCGACAAGCAAAGCCACGTGCCCAGGCATGCGAGTCCAGAAGCGCAGCCGGACAGCATGTCACCTTGGTGCATATTTCGCAGCATTTGCAAGTAATTGGCGACCGGTAGTTTTTTTCGCGCGGTCGTCGCAATGGGTTCCAAGACCGGGCGGATATTTGCTTTGGTTGTTGCCAGGCTCAACAGTCACGTTTTGTGTGCTGTAGAATCGCCACTTGTGGCAGTCTTCGCGAAGCTCTGCTCCAGCCCAACATACGCATAGTGAAAGATGCATCCGCAGTCATCAGCGTGTGCGGTGTGTGGCCACATGTCAGCATCGTCCCAAGCTTGATGTGAGGATGCCGAGATGTTGCTTTCGGCTTACTGGCCGTTCTTGTGAATGGTTTGGTGTTCTTTGAAGAGCTGACAGCGGGGTTGTTGTTTTTGTCGTTGTCGAAACCTTCCTTCTATCACTCGGGGTGCTTCATTGCAGTTTTTTCAACATCTCGGAGTGTGAGGCAGTTTGGATCGCAGGCCTGAAGATTTGCTCGCCCGGTTTCCTTCCGGCGTGGAAGGAATCGCCGACGAGGACTTCGTCGTGAAAAGGCAGACTGTTCGCAAATCTTCACAGTCTTTGCAAGGACACACGCAGGACACGTCCCGGTTTTTTTGGGTACGGCGGGCTGGTTTGTCGGCGAAGTCGCTGCACAAGCGGATGCTTTCAGGCCGCACATATTTACATTGCAATCTGGAGAGAGAGGGAGCGAGAGACAGATAGGTAGGCAAGGAGGCAAGCGGGAGAACATGCAAGCAGGAGAGAGCGGGAGAGAGCGAGGGATTGAGTGAGTGGGAGAGTGAGTGATTGAGCTGCAGGGAGAAATGAGGAAGATGAGTTGTGGTGTGGGTGTGGGTGGGGGCGTGGACCCCTCGTCAATGCGGCAATACAAGACGAAAGAAGAAAAAGACGAAGATGGGAGTGAGGGACATGGAGCCTTCAGACTCACAGAAGAGAAGAAAAGCGAAGGAGAGGGAGGAGAGGCAGGAGGAGGGACACAGGCGGATGAGTTATCCAAGGATTACTCGCCGTACAAAGGCAGTTATTCCGCTTTCGATGAGGACTCATGCCCACGTGTGTGAGTGAAGCTCCCCAGCTGATGGTGCAACCTAGTGCGACCTGGAGCCTGAGACGTTGGGCAGGAGAATCAGTGGGTGTACACCTCATTCGCTGGATCCCTCTTCTTCGCCTTGTTTGGTTTCCAAGTGGCATCGAGATTCGGTGGTGACGACTCGAAGTGAGGGGGCCAACTTTCGACCCAGCAGAAGCGAGCCAGCGGAGCTCGCAACATCGCAAAGGGTTTCGGGCATGCTGACGAGGCATCTTTTTAAAGTCCAAAGCTGTCCGCAGGTCCGAGAATGCTGTGGCAGCAAGACAACCTTGCATGACCAGGAGCTTGCCGCATGCAGCAAAAAGGGTCACGCTACGCCAGTGTCTTGACTGGGCATGCAAACCAAGCCTACTAAGATTGATGCAATAAGGACATACGAGAAGCTGGTCAGGGACAGGCGTGCCCCTCAACAGCTGGTCTTCGGGGCGAAGTGTCATCACTCCATCACTTGCTTGCAAGGTGCTACCTGGACATCGGCATCGGCAATCGCTATGCCGGGCGCATCATCGTGGGCTTATATTCAGACACCGTGAATTTCTCGGACTCTCGAGTTGCCTGGAGCTGGCTTTATGCTGTTCTGGAGCAACCGTTCTTAGATTCTGATTGGACCTGTGTTCCGAGGTCCCTTTGACATGTGAGAACTTCGTTCAGCTGTGCCCGGCGCAAAGCAGCAGAACGCGAATGGGGCAACAGACCAGGCTCTAGAATGGTTAACGACATGCTGAGGCAAAGGCTACCGAATAAAGGAGCGCATTATCGGCGTTTGGGCGGCAGATGTTGAGCTGTGACAGTGACAATGTCCGGACCCGAGCCTGCGACGTGCAACTTTACCCCCAGGTTACCAGAACACGAACATCCACTTGATCAAGTCGGGGTGTGCCATAGCAGGTGACTATACCACTCAATGTGACAGACCGACTCACCGTACCTCTTCTGACAGGTGGTGATGTCTTGGACGGCACGGGAAGAACCCGTGGACTGAGTATATATGGAGAGGCGCATCTTTTTGACCTAGCGTTGCACGCGCTCCGTGGAGACGGAAGTCATATTGAAGGCGTTTCCAGACGAGAACTTCGAGATCAGTTTCCTGCGCGATGGTGATCTCGTACTCGACCTCAGGCTTCATCAGTCGCCAAACACCAAATAGTTCGGCATTCAAGGCAATGTGCAATTGGGGCAAGAATACCAACTCCTCCATTTGGATGATTACGTTATCGCCGCGGTCTTATTCAGCAGTCATAGCGCTCAGTTGATGCTTGTTCATTTGCCTCTCCACCAAGGCAACAGAGAGCCTTCACAAACCATCACGTTTGCTTCGGCACGGTCATGAAAGGCAGTTCATGAATCGTTTAAGACGGTTCGCAGCTGCAGAGGGATCTAGAATCTAGATCATACCTCGAAAGGCATGCGCGTGGTGAGGGAGATCGGTGAATTGGGGACCAGAGTTCCTGACCAGCAATCAGGCTACATGTTGGCGGCATCTTGTTTGGGATCAGCTGGTAAGCACTCAGGTTGGTCGCCCAGCTGTGCCGATCCGAATCGTCCAGTGTGGCGTCCTGGAGGTAGGGCTGACTCACTGTGCCGAAGTGTTGATGCACCTGAAACACGAACACATGCAAGCACTGAATGTTCTTGCAACGGGAGCCTTAGAGCAGCGGTTGAAACGGCTGTGGGGAAGCTTGTGAATGACTCTTTGAGATCAACTCTAATTGATGCTGCTGCTGTAGCGCAAGAGCCGCCACATTTCCCGTTTGCACACACACTTCCGGGATTTGCTCGAGTCGCGTAAGGGAAAACGCCGCGCCACGTACGGCCCGGAGTGGTATCCCGGCCTTCCCGAATCGAACCAAGCCTGCTAATTACAGACTGCCACTTCTTTCATACCTCCTCTTCCTCGCAAGCGTGTCATACCAGGATTCGTTTGGTGGCTGTAGGATGGGTTGAAATTCAGTAGGGAATGTGCGGCGAGGAGGTCAAAGTCGAGGTGTAACTCCAGGCACGAGGTCGGATCTGTGGCGGCTCTGCCTCAGGATGGCAAGGAGCCTCCCCCTCCACCATCACTGGAGCTTGAAGATGACGCTGCTCCATTGATGACAGAGGCCGGGCCGCGTTTGCCGAGTGCCGTCCAAGGATGTCTGACTTGGCAAAGCCAGGACGAGTTCAGATCGATCAGTGTGAGCAACAAGCCCGGTGCGGTGCAGCCTTCATGAGACAACTGACGTTAGCGACAGGTGCAGCCTGGATTCTCAATTGTCCCGGCGTAGATCGCAAGGGCGCTTCTCGGTCTCCAAAGGGAGAGGGGACAGCCGCTGCGCATACCGGAACGTAGAAATCCAGCATTTGCAGACGTCCTCTGATAATTGAAGAGCGAGGTACAGGTGCACTCAAATTTGCTTTGCCTCTTTCGGCTCGAGCACACAGGCTGCTCTTCAGTTCGCTTTGTGTTGATGATGTCGAAGGGTAGCATCTACAAACGCTGCTTTGCTGCATGGCGATGCAGACCTGTTTCTGCGTGGTGTTTGTAAGCCAAGGTCCGGTGCTCCTTGCACTTGCAGCCGCCGCATGGCTGGCATGCAGCAACCGCCTCAGTACAGCGTCGCGAGGCCTCCATGCCTGGACTGTGCATCTGTGGGATTGCGGAGGCGTTCAGAAGACGCTGGACTTTGTTGGTGTCAGTCCGGCAACACGTGAGCCTGCTTTGTCAGCCAGGCGCGCTCTGTTCGTTTCCTTGGTACAGTGCAGTGGTGCCTGAGAAGTTTTGACTGACAGGCGGATCTCCGTGACAGGATCCCACAAGGAGGTTATCAGAGGCTCGGACGAGTGGAAGGACTCCATGATGAACAAGTCGCTTGTCGTCACTTTCGGATCCTGTCCCGGCCAGAAGTGATGGGATTCCGTTCTTTCCAGCACTTGAGGTGGTGGTGGCAGAAGGAAGGCTACATGACAGAGTTTGGATACAAGGAGAATCCGAACTGGTGACTCGGTCGGGAAGTTCGCTTACGTGCCAGCACTCACCTTTGGCATGCTTCACGGGCGGCTCAGGAACCCCTATGACTACAAATTGGCCGAAAGAGAGGTCCTTGAAACTGCGTGCGAAGTTGGAGTCGGCATGTCTTGCGCCAGCATTGACAGATGCGCTTCGCATATGCCGAGAAGATCCTCATGAATGACCGCCTGCTGAATCTATCATGCCTGTGTCTTCTGCTGAACAGCATACTGGATGTTGCCAACACGGGCATCGTGCTTGAGTTAAAAATTGATGCAGGAGTTGAGGGAGAGGGGAATGACTGACGAAGAGATCCGGCAAAAGGCGGGCGTTTGAGGAGAGGACCGAAGAGCATTCGGCGAAGCAGCATGAAGGCCTCCGTCTTCGAGTTTGTCGAAGGGGAGAAGCAGCCCAAGTTGACGAAGAAGATGCAGTTCCTGCTGCAAGTTTCCTGATTGCACTCTTTTACAGGTTTGCAGTGACGCAGTCGGTCCTTGACGCTATCAACCAGTAATGTCTGAGTATTGTCGTCCGCGCACCTTCTGCATCTAAGATCAAATACCTGTGCCTTGGCTGAACGAGAAAGTGGGTGTGTGACGCGTGCGGGAGAGAGCCCATGATGAAGACAGTGGTGCTGGTAAGTCCTTCCTAAGGCATGAAGGAAGAGAGGGAGAGCTCATCGACTTGGCGGAGGAGATCGAGAAGTCGCCGCCCTCCTTCAGCTACTCCGGTGTCCCTCGGCCGCAGCGCTCGGCCCACATAGTCCTGCCAGCTAATCCGAGCTTCAAGTGCAGGCAGGGGATTATGCTTGCAACGGCATGAATGCATGCCGAGAGTAGAGCCTGAAGCAAGAGTGGATGTGGATAAACAGCTCAGCAAGCTTCACAAGTCATGGTTTCGCAGACATGGGTGAGACTTGGAGTCGACACATGCGCAATGCACTGCTGGTCATGCAGTCATCTGGCAGCAATAGTTGAGAAGGAGCATGCAACCGCATAAAGCCTCGAACGAAGAAGCGAACGTTCGCCCTCGTAGTGTAAGCATTGCAGCAGTGGGACTACTGGTACCTCGCTGGCACGGCTGGTAACTACAGAACACCCACAAGCCCAACGCTCAAGGAGCCAGACGCAGATGTGTACTTGTCTCTGGACTGGCCCGGCATCATGCGCTGATTTGGATCGGTGGCACCAGCAGCCTGTCGGTTGTCTCGAACTGTTGTTTGGGGAAGTTTACGGCTGTCTCGCTTCGAGACATGTGTCATATGTCTCGCACATTGGCGCGAAAGGCTCCTGGACTCAATTTTCCACCCAAGTCTGATTTAAGGGTCCCGAGCCATCGAGCCTCAGCATGAGAAGGCCGCATGTACAGAAGCGTATTCGCGGCAGAACTCAGACTCCTGTGAGATGTTGAGTGGTGCGAGGGGCCCGAGAGACCGATGCTATGCCATATTTCCAGCCCGCCAGCTAAGCGAGTGGTTGAGTCTTGGGTGCAATCAAACTAGCGGCTGTTCTCGTTGAGCTCGGGGCCAGCACTGTTCAAGCGGAGCTAATGTGGCTCTGGTTCGTGTGTCGGGGAGTGCGAACAGTGACAATCAGAGGCGAGGCATGTCGCAGCCCAGACCATCCCAGTGACTGAAAATCTGCCGATCACTGCGGACTTCCCTGAAGTACGCCCTGCTGCCAACATTGCGACTGCCAACTTGAGGTGTGTAGCTGTGTCGATCACTGCCTTCCTCTGATGATGGCCTTGTCTCAGCCCGCCTGATACACATGTGTAGTCTTTCTGCGTGCAGCGCCGCCGAAGCTGGAGTACAAGGACTCTAGCCAGTGGGTAAGTACACCTAGAGGCTGACGAATCCACTTGTTCGACACTTCTCTTTGCACACCCTAAACCCCACAGGCGCATCAAGCCGACTTGCGTCACCAAAGCGCGTGTACTGCACAGATAGACTTGCAGTTCACAAGTAAGTTAGTCCTCAAGGGTGTGCCAACAACATGAGAGTCTGATAGAATACATGCCGTGACTTCGGCTGTCAAAACGTGCCGATTCCTCACGGTCATGAGTTCGGCCGAAGATTGGACGGAGAGGACAGATGTGCTTCGGAGCGTTCTCTCGGGCACAGTGCTGCGCAGTTGCGCAGGAACAAAAAGCAGGGCATTGCTTTCAATTATGATTCGGAGCGCCCTCGACGACGAGCGAGGTCCAGGACGTGGCTTGCTTCCACTGCCCGTGCATGAACAGCCAGAAGCTCTTGCAGGACTCCAAACAGGATGGCAGGGGAAGAGAAGCGCAAGCAGCAGCGAGAAAATCGCAAGGTGTGAGGGCGTTCGCTCCGACCGCTGGTTCTGTGACATGTTGACAGACATACGTTTTCAAGAGGCTACATGTTCTGCTGTACAAGAAGAAGAAGCAGACTGACGTACACAATGTCTGTGTGTGAAAGGTATATATGGATATATCTGTATATATGTATATATATGTATATATATATATATATATACATTTCTATATATCTATCTATCTATCTATCTATCTATCTATCTATATATATACATTACATATATATATATTGGTTAGTATATTGCATATGTATATAGTATGTAATTATGTATATACGTATATATGTATATATGTATATATATATATATATATATGTATATATATATATGTATATATATATATATATATGTGTGTGTATATGTATATATATATATATATATATATGTATGTATGTATGTATGTATGTATATATATATATATATATGTATGTATGTATGTATGTATATATATATATATATAAACATGCATGCATGCATGTGTGTGTGTGTGTGCGCCCGAGTGTGTGTGTGTGTGTGTTGGCGTGTTTGTGTTCGGATGCCTGTGTATGTGTGAATGCATGTTCGTGTGCAGCATGCAGGTGTACATGCATGTATGCATGCACGGACAGAGGGATGGATTGATGGATGGATGCATGGATGGATGGTTGGATGGATGCATGTATGCATGTATGCATGTATGCACGGACGGATGGATGGACGGACGAACGGATGGATGGATGGATGGATGAAGGCCTGTATGTACGTATGCAAGTATGCATGCTTGGACGGATGGATGGCTGGCTGGCTGGTGGGTGGATGGATGGATGGATGGATGGATGGACGATGGACGGATCGAGGGATGGACAGATGGACGGCTTCATGTATGTATGTAGGCATAGATGGATGGATGGATGGATGGATGGTTTCTTTGTACGGTAATTTGTATGCATCTATGTGTGCATGTGTGGCTGTGTGTTTACAAGCCCGTGTTGCGTGTCTCGTAGAAATGTGCCTGACTAGAAGCTTGAATCGATTGTTGAAGTAATTGTCTGTGTGCAGGCACTCTTCGCAACCGCGAAGTGCGAAGAGCCCAAGCCCAAAGCCGGCAGCGAGGCGAAAGATCCAGTTAGCTCGACGCATCGCGAAGTCAGTCCCCAATGTGCTGAGGAATATCTACTGCTTGGTATGTCCTTGATACGGAGCATGCACGCCCCAGTATCACTCATCCAGTGCAAGTCTTGGGTCAGGAGTCTGGAGGATCTGAGGATGAGCCCAGCAAGCTGGTTTCGGCACCAGTGGAGAATGCCTGGGAAAGGCGTGATCTAGTGATCGCGTGTCTGGTCTTCCTATGATGAGCCCAGTCTCGCCACTGGAGGACATCATGGGAGCAGAGTTCTTTTGACTCTTCTGCTGACAAAGCGAAATTCCTCCGCCTCATGGGGGCTGAGAAGGACCCGTCGGTGTAATATGCAGGGAATACGTCTGAATACGTGCAGTGGGCAAACCTGTGCTTGTCTGCGACTGCCGTATTTAGCCGGCAGTGCCCAGGACAAGAAATCCAGCTCGGCGCAACCGAGCAAGGCAAGGTATTGAAAGTATTGCGGCTATTTGCAGCCGTTGTCATCGTCGTCGTTGTGGTCGTGTTTGTCTGTGGATCTGTTTGCCGTGTAGGTCAAGCCAGGGCCGGGGACACAGGCCTCCGGGGAGGGGGGTTTGCATAGCGTCATGGCTCGAGTGCTTCGAAGTCGCTTTCCAGGAGTTGGAGCGCCAGTACTGGCAGAGCATGCAGAAGCAACTTTACTCCCGTGGACGTGGCTTAGGCTAAACATTGCCGGAGCCCTTCCCAAGCATTGTGGAAAAGACTGTGTATGCATTGCCACCAGAGGATGTCCGCAGGGTCAGAACAGAGTCTTGAGTCTTGAAGCTCCTGAGCCGTTTAGAAGGCGACGCTGCGAGTCGCTTGGTGTGTGCATTGCTGATATGTGTTGCATAGACATGTGCGGAGTCTGACCCGGATGTCAAGATCTGATGACCGCTGAAGCCAGTCATTGCAGAATTTCGTACATGTATGCATACATACGAAGTCTGTAGAGTATGCATGCAGGCATACGCACATCGCTGACCCAGCACATTCCTGTTCGAGTCAGGAGTCATGTATATCTGCCCGACTCTATGATACTGAAAGTTTGCACTAGTTGAATGCGAAACCGAGTATTAAGGTTGGCATGGACACATGCCACTACTTGAGAGTTTACAAAGATCAATAAGAAACGACATACCAAGTGTAAATGTGTAGGTATGAAAATAGACACACATAAGCGGGTCTGTCTGGCTGTCTGTCTGTTTGGCCGTCTGTTTTTCTGTGTGTCTGTGTGCCTGTGCGTCTGTCCGTCTGTGTGTCTGTGAGCTGTCCGTCTGTGTGTCTGTCTGTTTGTCCGTCCGTCGGTCCGTCCGTCCGTCCGTCCGTCTGTCTGTCTGTCTGTCTGCATGTGTATATGTACACAAACAGACATTTTACACGTACAGGATGCTCCAAACGATTCAAGACACAGGCAAAAAAGGTCTACAGGGCGTCGTGTCTTCATTTTTGCACGCCGCACCGCCTCTCGCTGTGTGCATGCTTCAAATCGAGTGTGAGCTATGTGATGCATGGAAGGGTTGCGATCCGTTGCCCCGGGCCTGCAGCCATGCATCTCGGACAAGCATGGGTAAGGGTCACATCGTAATTGTTCTCATCTCCAGGTCCAGTCACATTCCGAGAGACCAAGAACGGACTTAGCGACATACAGAGCGACTAACTGACTAGCTTAATAACACAGACAGACACAAGCGCCTTCTGCGGGCAGCAAGCTCGGATGCTGGTAGTCACATTCCGGCACGGTGGGTGGACTGACCTTGCATTGCAAAGCAACATGTACTGTCCCGTATGTGCGTCCAGCCGTTCACAGAGCCTACTGACCCTCTGTCACGCTGCCATGTATTCTGCGCGGAGCAGATCTCGAGGAAGACGTGTGCGCTCAGGAGGCCAGTGCTGACAAAGGCATAATTCATTTCGGCTGTAGTTCCTGAGTGGAAGAGAGGTTTCTTGCTTGCCGCATGGAAGTTCGCCGATTCGCCTGTTTTGATGGCGAAGGAAGCTTCTTGCGCAATTGTGTTCTAGTAGCTGAAGGTCGGGGTGACGACCATCGTCGGTCTCGGAGTCGACATGGCGAAGGCATGGGCCGACATGTGGTGATCTGCAGATGTCTCCTTTCAGCAGTCAGGTGGTAGCCGCAGGAGTCTTAGCATTTCGAAGTTCCGAAAGAAGCGACCAGTCAGTGCCAGAACAACGAAGGTCGACGAAAACGAGACAAAGACGGTCGAGACGAAGAGCGAGCTGACGACTTTGGCGACCAGCCCAGCAAGAGACTGTCAAAGACTTGCATGTTTAGGTGAGCGAAGGAGAGGGCGAGGTGTCAGTGTTGTCTACAAGATTGCACGGACTAGGGTTCCTTCTAGTTGACCACATCTTCCTTTTGCCGGCAAGAGGTGCTGCAGCAGCTTGGGGCCCGTATGCTGGCTACGTTGGTGCACCCAGATCAGCGAGACAGCCAAAACGTTTCTTGTGCCGTCTGTTCATTCAGCCCTCTAGCTCCGACACGAACTTTCAGCACAGAGCGAGCCAAGGGCGCGTATGCTGCTGCCGCAGCTAGCTACTGGGACTATGCCGGAGCCTCAGACGAGAAGAGGAAAGCCTGTGCAGGTTTCCGCTTTAGCTCACGTCATTCTCAGGCGCAGCACGCGCAACAAGCCGCTGTAGAGGATGCCCGTATGATCCCTGTTGAGCTCTCTCGCCTCTATTCCTGTAGCTGCTCACTCCGTCCTCCTCTGTCCCTCAGTTTATCGCAGCTGGGAAGGAAGACAAGAAGAAAAAGAAGAAAAAGAAGAAGAAGCGCGACGGCCTTGGTTGCCATGGAACCTGGAATTCTTTGATTCAGCTGGAATGGTATGTTGGGATGTTCTTAGGAGGGCAAAGCTCTTCGTCGTCGCAGCGCGGCTGCAGCTGGTGCAAGCCTGAGACTGGCGCTGCACCCATTTGTCCTCTGAGCCAGGTCGTCGTCATCCTCGCAAAACGATGTTGGAGCCCAATCTGAAGCGCAACCGTTCCTGGCCGTGCCTCGCTGGCTTCAGCTTCTCTCAGGCAGCTGCTCAGTGGGCCGAGATGTGGCGCTCCTGGCAGGGCGGGGCGACCCCAAGCGGGCCCCCACCTGCACAAGGCGAGAGACAATAGCAACATGACGTGTTCACACTTTGCGGACACGTTCTTTTCCCCTGCCCATACGCCGGGGAACGGGCTGAACGTGTCAGGAGCCACCCCCAGCTTATACCCATCTTCGGTCGAGAGACAGCATGACGCAGCCAGACGTTTGTGATATGGACAGTGGTGTGTGCAAAGAGGCTGCCCGGTCGGATGAGCATCAAGTACGGTCTGGTTCCCACACACTGACTTAACCGCGGTCAGTCTGGTGCATGCCTTGTGCTCAACGCGTCAGCCAGTAATATCCAGTACCAGTCTGGCAGGTCCCGACAAGAGTGACTGTTTGAGCTGTGTTGGTGCATCCACATACCTATTTCTGGGGCATTGGGGTCCGAAGGTTTAATACAATCCTCATCATCGCGAGCAAGCTGCTTGAAGAAATTTACCAAAAACTCACAAGTGGGTTGAGTTTTTGTTTGAGCTTCTAGGTCGGGACCCAGAGACCACCAGCTAAACCTGTGGATTGCGCTCGCGAAGACCTATTGTGCAGGGGTGAGAGTGCCTGGTCTGCTGGTGCGTTTCTTAGTTTCTCGTTGTCGCCCTCCTCCTCCTGTTGCTCCTCGTTCGCAAGTTTGCTCTCTAACCGGTTACAGTCCCGATTCGCTGTTGCCCCCCGTCGCTTGTTGGGAGAGCCGTGTTCTTCTCGGGCAGCCTGCATCTGGTGAAAGTTGCTGCTGAGACAGTTCTTGTGGGGCAGATGCTTCCGAACCTATTCCGAGTGGCATGTCTGGCATAACACCAGATGCACGCCGTCGATCCTCCGATGTCCACTGCATCTTGACAGACACCGGCAACGGTGGTCGCTGGTCCCACAAAAGTTGGCAGCAAACCAGCTGGGAATTTGGGAGCTTTGTGCCTGCATTGCTGCTAACTCTCTCGAGACCACGTCTGATTTTGCATGCCTATGCACAGGCCACCCCATGGCCTGGAACCAGTGGGGGGGTGTGTCGTGCGCTCAGCCCATGCCATCGCAATTGATGGCAATGCCAGAAGTTGGAGGCCTCCGCAGGCTCCAGGCTGGCCAGGCAAGGACCGCTTGTTCTGCCCTCTGCTCGTTTGCTGCGTCTGCGTGCCAGGTCCTCCACCAGATGGCGGCTGCAGCCCGAGCTGTTCAAATCCATTCGGTGTTCCTGATGGGTCGTTTGTACTTCCCGGATATTCAGACAGCATGGACGTTGCCAGGGGCTTCTTCCGAAGGTCTGTGTTATGTGTAGTTGCGCACAGCGAGAAGACTGTCACCAGATACAAGGTTCTCACAAGACGTTTTTCACATAGTACTGAGAAGATGGTCTGCAGTGTCTGCGAACTGCTTATGCTTCTACTTCCGGAGCAGGTCAAAGTGAGAGGCGTCATACTTCGATTGCCATCTGTTTGGATGTTTCATTCGCGAGCTTGCAATTGAACAAGAAACTGATGGACCCATCGTGAAATGGCTCCATGCGATGTCGGAATATGCACACTGTGATCGCAGCCATGTAGTGTTCATTGCAAGTTTGATTATGTTTACGAGAATGCACAACAGCAACAACAGCATCGAGATCGCCACCTGAACACCGTGTGGCACGGCAGGAGTGCTCACCTTGGCACTGCACATTGTGTCACACAAAGGCATTGCTCACCACAGCTGCGCAGACCACGGAGCACAGCACTGCAGTGCACAACACGCTACTCGCCTCCTCGCCACCGCACCACCGGCACCTCCACACCAGCACTAGCAGTGAAAACAGAAACCGGCAACATCAAAGGCTAGGCATGATAAAGAACAACGTGAACACGGAGGGAACTGCATATTGACCGATATGCAAGGGCTGTGGGGTCACTGTCGTTGGGTCATTCATAAAAGGTTTGAGCCTCAAATCCCAACACCCCAAACCCTGGCAAACCCTAAACCCGAAGGCCCAATTGGCCGCCGAAGGGCCAAAACAGCCTACTGCCTGTAGACTTCTTTTATCAGTCAGTCCAATGAAAGACTACATTGTGGCGCCGCAATTGCAGTCGTGATTGTGGCAGCTCGTCAATGGCTAACCCATGCTCAGGCAGCATGGGCTCTTTCGATGGTCGAGACACAGGCGCAATGGTTGCTGTTGACTGTTTGTGAACATGTGCATCGGATGGGCCCTTGTTTGCAGATTAACTGCGACACTGAACCACGAGGAAAGCACCGATCAAAGAACGAGCAAAATGAAGAACGAAACATCACACGGTGTCATGGCACCGATCATGGGATTGTGTTTGGTCCGTTGTTTCGTGGTATATACAGACTTCATTCTGCCAGGATGTGTCATACCCGACTCATGACACTTGCTCACTGTTTCTTGCTTGCTCTCTGCGAGAGCGAGAAGTAGTGGTAGCGGTAGCGGCAGCGGTAGCGGTAGCGGTAGCGGCAGCGGCAGCGGCAGGGGCAGGGGCAGTGGCAGTGGCAGTGGCAGTGGTGGTCGTGGTCGTGGGGGTGGTGATGGTGGTAGGTGGTAGTCGTAGTCCTAGTCGAGTCGTAGTAGTAGTAGTAGTAGTAGTGGTCGCAGTGGTAGTGGTAGTGGTAGGGGTAGTGGTAGTGGCGGTGGTGGTGGTGGTGGTGGTAGTAGTCGTAGTCGTAGTCGCATTTGTAGTCGTAGTCGTTGTAGTAGTCGTGCTACAGGAAGAAGGCTTCGCAGTTTCCGAGCAGCAAAGGTGGGTTTTGGAAAGCTCTGCCTTTCGAAAGGAATACCAATAAGCGCTCGGACCCGTTATTGTGCACCAAAAGCCACACTTTGCAGGAACGAGGTTTACAAAGCAGGGGTTTGTTGTTGCCAAAGACCCGGGTTTGTGGATATTCCATGAGGACCGAATCTGAAGCTCCGCGGGATTCTCGAGTTTTCTCTCTTCTGAGCCTCGGTCTGGCACAGGCGTAGCCGTAGCCATCTCAAAGTAGCAACCATATGTCCTTGCCTCCAAAACAGCAGCCAGATGTACTTCCTCGAAAGCCTTCAAATTTTGCAACCAGATGGCAGTAGTTGCCCTGAACCACCTGTAAACATAGCAACGAAATGTCCGTAACAGCATCTACTTCCAAAGCCCCTAAACAAAAAGCAGATGGCCTTGACCTGAGCTCAGGCGAGCAGCTTCTTTTCTAATTCAGGGGGCTTCTGAAAATGAGATTAACATTGTTGATTTTATCTGTGTGTATCTCACCCTCCGCACTTTTCCGTCGCGGTCTGTTTTTTGAAGGTTCTTCGTTTCGTTTTTTACGTTTTTCTTCCTCTCTCTCACACTCTCTCACTCTGTTCTTTGTCCAGATGCAGCAGAGGATGAATTTTCTTGAAGCAGGCAGAGGCGGTGATATGATAATGCATGAGGTGCGTCTCACAGTGCCTAGAACTCGGCGCGGGGATTGCTTGCAAACCATGGAGAATGATTCGTTCAGAGTTTAAGCCTCTGCCACTGTGAGCATCTTCCCGTGCAGTGCTTGGCTTTGCGCACCAGTTTTGGGTTTTCGGTGCCCAGATGCTGCCAGAGCCAGAGCTCCGCAGCCTCCAGAGAGAGGGGGGTATTGTTCTTGGCACGATATGCGATCCTGGGGAGTCCACATTTTCTGCTCATGATTCATGAGCTTGAGGCAGACTCTTGTAGAACAGGTAAGGTGCGTCCTGTATGTGAGCAGATACTTTTTCATATGCATTTCTGCAACTCCTGGTGTGTGCATGGAGCAGAGTGTGCCTGTGTGCCATTGTGATGAACGACAGGTTGGGCGGTTGCAGAGCGGGAGGACCGGCAATCAGCAAGTGGATCAGTTCTTGAAGCCTTGACTGGCCAGGATGATGAGAGGTCAGGTCCAACCGAGGCCTTTCACGACGTCGCCTTTGGCTTTGGTCCGGGCTGAATACACGCTCCTCGTGGCAGGACGTTCCGATCTTCCTGGAGCCATCCGTCGAGGAAGATGAACCTCAATCTAGGGGTGCTCTCATCCACGGCAAACCCCTCGGAGGACGAAGTCGCTGTACCGAAAGCTCTTCTCGGGAAGGCAGTTCGTTGAGATGTCTGCCCAGTTGTGTGAATGGCCGACAGCAGTACGATGAGGTCATCGGAAAGCAAGCGGCTACAATCATCGAAATCCGAGAGAAGTGCAACTCTTAAGCTGCATGCGGCTGTTGAGAGTGCCCCAGTGCTCCAGCAGCAGCTGAGCTGAGCTGCGCTGAGGAGCGGGGCATTTAAAGTGGATGCCAGGGATCAGACCTCCGATCCTTGCATGGTGCGGCCGAGCGAGTGCTCATGTCTCGAGAGCTTCCTTTCAACGGTGGCAGGTGAAAGTAGCAGGCACTGCGGAGGCAGTCAAGAAGGACCGGACCGGCCCTGGAGTCTCAAATTTTGGGTGCCCGTGGCCCGTTGCGTTCCCTGGAGTCTCAAGGCCAAAGACCTCATCCTTGAGCTTATTGATCAAACCAAGCCGCACGCCAAGACTGTCATCGACTCCGCTCTTGGGAGAGGCGCTGACACAATGCTAGGCAGAAGCATTTGAGCTCGCACTATGTGGAGATTCCACGCTCAAAGCCCGTGCCTATGAGGGCAAAGGTCTCTGAAGAAGTGTCAAAGGGCAGCTCACACACTCAGGATAGGTATGGTGATAGGATTGAAAGGAGTCTGGTCCTCAGCGGTTGTTTGCCCCGCATGCATAGTATCCATTAAGCATTTTGGAACAACAAAGGCGCAAGTAAACGAAGTCCAAGCGCAGACTCAAACCAAAATCGACGTCGACTTTGAGACGGATCCATGCAAGTGTTACATCAAGGCCGGTACTGCTCATGCATCTGTACGCGACAAGTCAGCGTGAAGAGAAGTGCTTGACAGGGTGAGGCAGACAACGTGGACCGTGCGGGGCTTTCGGCAATATGGCACATACCTGCAGGCTCACCAGTGCCGAGCGTGACAGAATGACAGGAGTATTGCTCAGGTGCCAAGAAAGTCTTGCTTACGATAGCTATGCAGTTGGAGGCTGGCGTGTTCCACGGAGTGTCAGCCTCCAGGCGTAAAATCTTGCCAGGATGAGGCATCCGAGTACTTGGACCTGCCGAAGACAGTGTCTGGAGCCCTAATCGGAGCTCAAGGCACCTCGGCTTCAGAAACTGGCCATGGTTCCTGCGGCCATGAGCATGAACAGATGAACACTGAAAGTTCGGTCGGCCGTAGCCTTGCAGTGCTCTCTGCTGGTGTTCAGGATCCCGCATCCGGCAATTTCAAGAGAATAGTGGCGCAAGACCCTCAACCTTAGAGCACTTGCCATGCCTCCATGCCGCATGCCTCTCTTTGCGTGATCCCAGGCTCGCATCGACATTGACAAGTCCGGAAATCGCTGCAAGGTTCGATTGACCGGCAGCAAGGACTTCGCAACTGCACCTGCAGAGCCACGTGCAAGCGACAAAGTGGAAGATCCAGCCCTGCATTTTTCAAGGAGGCAGTGTCTATCGCCAAGTCGCTCATACAGGCCTGTCTGTTGCAAGCACGAGTGGCGTCGCTATGCAGCTGTTGTAGAGGCAGAACTGGACAAAAACATGGTCCCAACGAAGACACCTGGAAGCATGCTTGTTACTTACACTGCTGATGAGCACAAAGCTGGACAGATTCGGCTATTCCGTTGAATCTCCCAGGGCCAGCAGCGGCGCAGGGGTGTCCCACGGACCTGTTGCAGTGCCAGCGTGCCTGCCTTGGCATCCTGGCTGATTCGAACAGCGTTGCGGAAGCCAGCTCCCAGGCATCAACCTAGCAGTTTCCCAGCCACGCTGTCAGAATCTATTGCACGAGTCGGCTTCTCAGAAAGCTCTGGGCCTTGCGACAAATGTCAATGGCTAAGGCCAATATGCACCGGAGTTTTTGTCTGGCTGTGGCCTGGCTCGCAGTGGCAGTTTCTGCTCAGGCAAGAGCCGCAGCCGAAGCTGTGAAGCACGGGCGCAGATCTAAAAACCTCTCAGCTGTTCTGTCTTTCTCGTTCTGACGGACAGCGTAAGGCTGATACCTTCCGGGCCGCCCGAAGGGTCGCCTGTCAATCCACCGCCGCCAGCTCCGTTGCCGGCTAGGAGCTCGGTGTCATCATCTTGAGCCGTGAGAATTGGACACCGGGTTTGAACAGCCCTATCAAGCCTAGCAGCATGGAGGTAGCAAAGTGTCTGGTGCATTCTTGATAAGTTGCATCCTGCATCCCGGCGCCATGCCGGCGCTCAGTTAAATGGGCACGTCTTGCGACCACAAAGCAGGAGGTTCTTGAGAGGGGAGATGAGATGTCTGCTAAGGCTGCCCGTGCGGTGCTGCCTTAAATGACTTTTGTGGCCGAGGTACCGCCTCCTCCTAGGCCGCCAGGTGCGTTTTCCGGGTGCAGATGTCGGATTGGCAGTACTCTTGTTGCCTTTCGGCCTTGTGTTACAGGTGCGCCAAAGGGTGGTCACTGGGGCGGAGGTTCGGCCTGAAGAGTCAAAGGAAAGTCAGCGATCCGATGCCTGGCAGGAGGTCAGTGGGGCGGTGGTGGTTGGTGAGCTGGTCACTCGGACAGCATAGCGTTCCGTGGAGCACTTGAACCATCGAACAAGCCAGGCGGCAGCCCCTGAGTTTGCCATTTGCTTGTGACTTCTGGTGGTTGGCGCTGGCACTGTCGGCGATGGGCTGTTTCTGCAAAGTATGTCCGTTCTCAGCTTTATGCATCTGTCATGTACTTGTTTCGGATGCGACGCGGATGCTGCTCATGTGAGCTGAAGACTAGGGCGTCGGGACGGTCTCATTTGCGACTGTCACGCAGAGGAAACAAGAGCATCCGGGAGGGCTGGCTGACTTGCAGTTCTGCTCCTTTGTCCGAGCCAGAGCCCTGAGAGCCCCGGATACCTCAGCTGGCTCTTTGGTTGCCAGCCGTGCAAGCTGCTCTGGCCTTTCCAGCGAGGCAGTGTCAAGCATGCTGTGCAATATCCGTTCATTCTTGGAAACTGGTACCAGGACAAGGATGCAGCCATGATGGCACTCCGCGTGATCATTGTAGCGGTGCTGTCAGCCATGTACCCGGTCTCACCTCCAAAGTTTTCCGCCCCATGCTTTGACACTTCAGGTGCCCAGTGCCCTGGGCACTGTTCTTGCACGGCTCCCGCCTCGATACTTCGCCTAGAAATTACACCAAGAAAAGCCCCGCACTTTCTCAAGAACTCCGAGGGCCAAGCTGCGGCAAGGATCCAAGTCTTGGCAGGACTGCGTCGATGCGTCGATTGGCAGCTGTAGCACAAAGCAATCCTCGCCAGGATTTCTCTCCCTGCAGCTGTTCAGAATGCCTTGGAGAACACAAAAATGAAGGTGCCTCGCTGGATTTCCGTTAATAAAGACAGGAGACGGTTTCTTTTCAGGTGGAGATGGCAGCGTTGGCTTCCAGTGCTTCCCGAAAACTTCTGGCGGGAGTCCAAGGGTCCTTCTCGCCGATGGTCGCCGCAGAGTCGCGCCACGAGTGTCGCAAGTCGCGAGGCTTGGCAGACTGCCGCCAGACGGAGCCGGTTGCCACTCGTGTGGCGCTGCGCTCGGCATCTGGCATCGCCGATGCTTCGTAAGCAGTGCAAAACTCGTGATGCCACCGTGCTGTTGCTCAATCCAGGGCAGCTGGGTTGTCAAAGGCTACAAGGGTTTGGTGCGGCCTGTCGGAGAGCAACCTGAAGCGCTTTAAGTTTCTTTTACACACGCGGTGTGATTGAGCATTCATTTTTGTTGGTAGGCTTAGCCTGACCTGTTGGTTCAGTGTCTCATATCGTTGTGGTTCTGGGTTTTTTGAATGCAGCGCCGGGGCTGCGGAAAGCAAATGAAGACACAACGTGAATCCCCAGGTGCAAAGTGCCGATGTCGTCAGCTACGACCGCTTCTGCTTGTACACCTGCAAGCAGATAGCTGAGCCAAGATCGTGACGATGATGATGGTATGCAGCGGCCATGTGTGTGGCCGGCGAGGCCTCTCCTGACAGATGAGATCAAGCCAGTCGTAGACTGCGCGCATCTCAACGACAAAGAAATTACGCACGCTTGGCTATTTAACGAGTGCCCGCCCTCGCAGTACAGCGTCGACTCTTTCACGTATGCTTCTCGTCTTGCCAGGGATCTGGCCCAGAGCCCTTCTTCCAACGGAAGGGAAATTGTGTACGAGGCACAAATTGTGGAGGTGTGTGGGATCTCTATGAAAGTATGCGAGCTGCATGAACGAGGCGCATCCCCTTGCGCGAGTGGGGCCTATCTCCCGGGTTCTCGCACAGCCCGAGGTGGGACAGCAGACCAGAGAACTTATTGTGCACATCACCCGTTCTAGCCATCAAGTGAGGTGGTTACAATAGGCTGAGCTTTTATTCGGATGCGGCAACGGGGTTGTGTTTGCCAGGCATCCATGTTGGACACATCGGTGGTTGACAGGCAGAGTGATAGCCTCTAGCCCTGCTGATAGCACTTCAGAACCGTCTGTGTCGCAGGTCCAGCGATCCGGTGAGTGCAATCCGAGCAACCTTTGCATCCTTGAGGCCCGGAAGATCGCCTTGTCAAGGAGCTCTCATAGGCAGACCCTCCTTCGCCAGGAAAGAAGAGACTGCAGCGCCAGGCTGGTGTCTGGATCCCGCTGTGATGACCTCACAGTTCGCTTGGCAAAGTCAGGTGTCAGTCCCTACACTCTTCCTGATGCTGCGAAGGCAGACCAGCTAAGCCAATTTCATCTCCGTGTGTCTAGCCGGCCTGGTCCAACTGTGCAGGCCCCTCCGCTTTGTGTCTGCCACTGTGGCAACAAGGTGAATCGCAGACCTGGCCTGGCTTGATCGGCAAAGCGTGCTGCAATGCTGCCGTTGTCGGAGCAGTATCATGGGCTTGAGGCATGCGCCAGACGGAAAGTGATGGCATCCTCTACCCGAAGCCCAAGCAGGCACAGGGCCAGCTGTTGGTCTCCGGAATAGGTTGTGCTTCATTGAAATCGTTTCGATAGGTCCGATTGCCTCTCGCCGTCACTTCTGCCGGCAACCCTGCTGCGCAGCCAGAACCTCCACAGCCTCCCATGCCACCGTCCGTGCCTGATCTTGAGTGTCAGCACGGCAAGTGTCCTTTTCTGCTGGCCGTTTTCTCTTCTGTCGGTGAAACGTTGTGCATCACGGCATCCTCTCCGTGCCAGCCGACAGACCAGCAATCGTGAGTGCAATGCTGATGCCGAACATGAAGTACAAAACAGGACCAGACAGCAAACGGGGAAAGGTACAAACAGTTTTGTTTCTGCAGCATTTAAAGACACATGCGCGTGGATCAAGCACGTAAAGCGGCCACGTCTTTGACAAAGCTACACATCCCTCCCGCTGTAAGTCCATACGTAAAACAATGCAGTCCGGGTATAACGTTGGCTTGATCAAGCACGCACAGGAAGAACGGAAAGGAATGAGCCGCGAAGGCAGATCGGACTGGCATGTGGTGATCCATGCCGTACTTATTAATATTCTGCGATTGCGCGGAGAGGTGATGTGAGGCATTGTTTTGCTAAGTTTCGGGTATACCATACACGATACATGGTAGCATCAAAACAGGCTGAATTCAAAACCTCGTCCACGCCGAAAGAAGGGTCAGGGCTTTACCGTACGTTCATCCATACTCACCGAGGCTTTCCAACGTCAAACAGGTGATGCCAAGCTTCCCCCAAGCTCTGCCAAGGCCCCCTCCGGCAGAGTTGCCACCGCCTTCCATGCCTTTGGGTCTGTTTCCCGGCCAGGCAGGCGTTCGTAGTATCTCACCTCGCCGAGTGTGCGAGGGTCCTGTTTCAGGAGTTGCCACCAATTCCGGAGGCAGTGCAGTGAGCAACGCATTTGTGTTCACTTCGCCGGGGCCACGATCGAGTGCTAGTGCAGGCCCCGTTGGAGATCACAGCGCCGCTGCCACCAGCAGAGATAGGCCGGAGTTGTTGCATCCTTTGCCTGCTGTATCGGTGTTGATCCATACGGCGTTACTCCAGGGCTGGCAGATGCAGCAGACCCAGTTATGCTCCGTAATCTTTGGCCAGCGAGATTTTGCAAAACCTGTCAAGGTGCCTCAGAAGCAGAAGCCCGTCTCGTTCTTGCAGCAGGTCCAGCTTAGCCCGCCGGAAAGCCGTCACAAGCACATATGTGACTTCCGGCAGAACTTGTTTGCGGCAGGCTTCTGCTCCGGTAGCCTGCAACTGCATTTGCTGAGGCCGTGGCTAAATTCACCACATGTGGCATGTGATCACGATGCAGATCTGCAGATCTGGTGGCAGATGGAGAGCAGTTCACAGTCTCGATAGGCATCCATACCGAAGTTGAGGTCTGCGGGCCGTGCAGTTGTGATGGCCTAGCGTCTAGCAGACTCCAAGAGCTGAAGAGCTGACCTCGGAGCGCAAAACAGACTGCTGAAGTCGTGCTCTGGTCAAGCTGGTGTGAGCATTCGTAACCGGTCTGCTGGCTCTGAGGCTAGACTGCCATCGCCAAACTACTCAGTAAAGATGTCAACTCCCAGGCCGCCACAAACCTGTAGTGCCTCTGATGCAATGCTTCAGCCATACCTTAACATTGTAGTCCCCAAGTGATCTGATAGAGATGATGAAACCTTTCAGGGACGTGATTTTCCTTCCGGCACACATGCTGACTCGATGTAGAGCGCTTGTGTCAAAGACGACAAGGACCGAAGCCCTGTGAGAATTCTGCCTGGTCAGGATTAAGGTATACCTTTCGGCTTCCAACCTACTGCAGGATCTTTGACCCCATTTCCAGAGTATGCAAGGCACGCTGCTGGTTCATCGGTGCCTGTCGTTTTCGCTGCAGCACTTAGGATGGTGGGTTCAGGGTGGAAGACGAGATGTAGTGGAGCAAGTTGACAGCTTCGGGGGTCGATGACCGTTGCATTGAGCTTAAAGGCTAGTTTGAATCACTGAAGTGTTCTGTGACCGCCTACCCTGCAGTCTCCGATGCCATTCAGGTTCGCCTCGTCTTCTCAATATCCCTCGTAGGCAAACCTGAATCAAAGCTCTTGATTCTGGCTTCCATTCTTCGCCTTGACGAAAGCACAGCATCGCCCCAGCAACAACCAGAGAACGCGGGTTCAAATGAGAGTCTGGCCAAACTGCTCAAACCGGAAATGAACGCCGAGACAGCCCGAAATTGACACAAGGTCTTGTGCAGTGAGACATTCATCAAGTGCCCACTTAGGCCTGCGGCTCGAACAGGCGCTTCAGACACTTTGCAAAAAGCGCACAGGGGACTCATCCCGCAACGAGAGCATAAGTGGAAGAAGCTGCAATGTGAGAGTTGGCGACCATAGCTCCAGTTGGCAAGACGCATGTCATTCCCGTCTGAAGTTTGGCAAGGTGTTGGGACGCATTTACAAGGCTCATCGCATCTCATCGCGCATGTTATGTCATGTGGCGAGATATGCTTGCAGCATGGCTTTGGAGCGAGGATGCCCCCACCTTGTGCCTCGTGGTTACTTCGATACTTACCTTGTTGATTCTGCCAAAGACCGAGACTTTCGCAGAAGTGGCGCAGCGGCATCGCAGCGGCATCGCAGCTCTGAGGCTGATCATCCTCTTCAGCACTTGCATCGCACGCCTCACTGGCACGCGTGGCGCCATTGCAATGGCCCCGACCTGCTTTGCCCCAAACCCTGTCCGCGATGTCGTCTTGGCTCAGGCGGTGGACCTCGTCTTCCTCTGGCTCTTCGCCCGTCTCGTCGCGCGCGCCAGCAGCCCAGCTGTCATGACAAGACCTTGTCAGAGGCCCTGCTTCACCGAGCTTGGGAGGCCCTGATGTTTCCCGGTTCTCTGAAGCTCTTCCAGCGGAGCACCGAGGCAAACTACAGGACCAGGGCAGTGGGACAAGTGGATAGCGGCGTCGTGCGTTCAAATCGGGTACCGGAAATCTAGGAGCAGCGCAGACGACTTTCTGCAGGACAGAGATAGCACGCCACTACATCATAAATGTTCGCCAGCTCTGGATGTTCCTTAGACATGTCTGCATCTTAGAACATGCAGCTCCTTGGTGTGCAGATTGCACCTGACGGTGATGGTGAAAGGCAGCCCATTTGTCGGACCATGTTCGGGGTGTCACGCTGGACGGTTTGGCGCGGGCCACAAGACCTTCAGAGCCAACGCGCCTTCGAGAACTGATCAATGCAATAAGGAGAAGGCATGTGCTGCCGTCAACAGTTTGGCCTGTTCGCTCCGAACACAAGAGCAACACGAGGCAAGAGGGCCTTGAAACTGGCCAAGCTTCTCGGTTCGAACTTCTCTGGTCGAAGGTCAGGCTCACTGCTGAGCAGCGCGAGGCCAGTGCATGTCGCAGAAGCATCGGGGGTGCCCCGGGGGCGGTGTGCTTTCTTCATCCTTGCTTCTGACCTTCTGCTCGCAAGGTGTTGGACTCGGCAGAGGATTCGTTGCTGCAAGTTGTGATCCTCTCTGATAAAGCAAGCAGGTTGTTAGCACCTAATGGGCATGCTCTGAGCAGGATCTGGGCCAGTGGCTACATACTTTGCAGGCAGGGAAGACTCGAATCTGCAACTTGACCGAGCAATATATACATCCCTCCGTGGATTTCAGTCTGTATTCCGGACCGGAAGGTCTTGGGAAGTGGCAATCCGACAAGTAACGAACACAGCACGAGAGAAAGTGGTTTGTGTAGGAAGCCGAGGCAGTGAACATAAGCACAAGGCAGACAAATGCAGTCTTTAGCGGTTCGTGCTTGAGCCGTCGAGCTGGAACGCTGGAGGAGGTCGCAGAGTCGCGGAAGGCATTGATCATTCATCCTTCTACACAAGCTCTGCTGCTCTGTCTCAAAAGAAAAATCAATCTTGTGCCAGCGTGCAGCGAAATTTAAAGCAACGTTGATTGCGATGATTCTCAAAGCCAACCTGAACGTGCCGGTAGGAAACCACGACAAGAATGGAGAGCCAACGTGAGTCACCAAACCACCGTATGTTGCTCTCAACTAGCTTTGTCTGTAGGATCCGTGATTGGAACCAGCAAGGCTTCGAAGAGCGAATGTCGTAAGCCAGGGAAGATCATGGCGCGATCGCAATCTCTGTGGAAGGGAGCACATCCTATCGAGAAAACCAGAGCGACAGATGGGCCTGATGCGGGGAATCCTTTGCTCCCTGCAACCAGAAGTGTTGCTGTTGCCGTGCCGTCGTACTTTTGAGAGACAGTACGCTACAGTATGCTCAACACGTGGTTTCAAAGCAGCAGGCCAAACAATGTGCAGCCCCGTCACGGATTGTGTCAGGTGCAAAGTCTGCATCCGCGAGGCTGGTGGTGCTTCGGTTTGCTTGGGGGAGTTTGTGGTGCATGCTATTGAGCCGGCAGGCCAAGGTTCAGTAACTCTCCCCCTGGGCGAATGGTTAGCATGGGCAAGGCTCGGTGCCGAATCTCTGTTGTGCTGTGGCAAATGTTGGCTTGACATATTTCAAGCGTGCAGTACAGACTCACCGTGTTACATCCTTCCAACTTGGGTTTGCCGAGCGGCTGCTGTGCATGTTCATGTTACATCCAGCTTGCGGTGATATTGACTTTGGCTCCGAAACACTGTGCGCGGTGTGCAGAGGCAAGAAGCGTCCAGATCCCGCATGCTTGCTCCCCAGCACATGCAGGAGAGCGATGAGAGTTCATTCATCCCTACATCTGCAGGCCACAGGCGGAGTTCATAGGCAGCTGCGGCCTGAATCTGACAAGCGTGGTCCGTGGTCCGATTTGTGGATCCGTCTCATGCCTGTGCTTAGGATCAGAGCTTGACGCGCAGGGTGCCTTGCCCTCCAAACTGGCACGCCTTGAAAGGCTGCTCTCCGTGATGGACAGCGCAGCGGGGCGGGGGGGGGAGAGCCCGTACACGAGCGCAGAGCAGCGCAAAGCAACGTTCAGGAGGACCTCAAGGCGCCCAAGTCCGGGATGCTCACTACAGCGATGCGGTTTCTGAAGGCCAGGCCGGCAAGGCTGCAGACGTGGAGGAACTCAATTTGGCACGTAGCCTCTTACCTTGAGGGCCCTAGAGAGCTACTTGCCAATACATCCCTGGTATGAGCTCTGAACGCAGGTGCCGACCGTGGGATCTTTGAACCAGCTGAGAGCGATGAGCTGAGACCTCTTGATTCAGATGGCTCGTCAGTGCTTGTCATATGTTGGCATCCAGCCGCTGACATCACATGCATCACACGAACATGTTAAGCTTTCGGTCCGGTGCGGATATACGAGCGTGTACTAAGTTCAACAGATGCATCTGTGGGGTGCTGCGGGAGGCTGAGCTGCAGATCCATTATTCCGGCCAGCACTTTTGGGCCGTGCCCTTGGTGCCACTTCTTGCGGGTGCATCTCGCATCTGAACTCTTCTCTTGCTTCGCTGCTGACAGTGTTCTTTGTCGTCAAGGTATACAGAGTACGTTTGCTGGGCCAAAGACCAAGCACCCGAAGCCCTGAAGCCTGAGAGTGCAGACTGCTTGCATTTTTCAAGAGACGTGGATTAAACGAATGCCCAGCTGGCACCCGGCTATAAAGCTATCTAGCCCGAAAGCTGGGTGCCTCTCCAAGCTGGGCCAACACTGAGCAGTGGGGGGTTTTACCTCCCAGCCCTTGACCGGAACACCTTCCCTTGTTGCTGGGGTTTCGCCAGAGTTAATCCCGCTCGCACTCACAGCACCGGCACCAGTTCAAGGAAGTGATTCGGTTGAGTATTGGCATGGTTACACACAGTCCATAATGATCCACATAACTCTGACTGACATGCCGCCCTGTTGGACTGTGAAGCTGCGATGATTCCGATGTCTCTGTCGCATCTGCCAGGTTAAGACAAAGGGCGGGCACCGTCTCGACGACTGGCCCTCATAGATGTCCTGATACGTTCAACTTGTCCAGGCGAGATTCATGAGCTGAGCCCCAAGGCAATGTTCATCCCGTGCCAACGTGGCCACCGGCTGCCTGAAGAGGTCGAGCGACATGAGACATGACATGACTTAGCCTTGCGAAGATGCGGGTGTTTGTGTCCCAACCAGGTGTCCAATGTCAGTGACCAGCTTCCTTTGAACGAGGCCCCTAGCCTTGTACAGCTTGCTGTGATGTGACGAGTACTCCTCCTGGAGGGACACTTGAATCCAACGCTGATCTGGCCGAGACCTCAGACATGCTTGGAGTCGCTGCATGAAATGGCCAAACCCTGTGAGGTGCAATCCGAATGCTGCGTACTACGAGGCCATGGTGTACCAGGCCGGGCCCCCGGACCTAACCAGGACTGCGGAAGTGCTTTCTGCCTGAGCTCAGGCCGGGATTCTGAAGTTCTGGGCCAACCAGGGCTGAGAGCCAAGCCAGGAGAGACCAGGAAGGGAGGCCGGGAAGGCCCAAAGGCCATCGGTCGCGCCGAGGCTGCAACCTTTTCCTCTTCAACTATGCCGGCTATGGGTTCCTTCGACAGCATCTAAGCTGTGCTCTCTCTGTGTTGGCCCCCTACAGCTGAGGCGCTCGTCAGGGCAGCCTTCACCTTCCAGAGTAGCCGAGGACACCATCGTCTCGAGTTGAGTGCTGCGAAGCAAAGCGATGCAAAGCGTGAGGACGGGGAGGCTGTGGTGAACTTCTTGAAGAGCACCGAGCCAAAGACGATCTCAATTTGCATCCCGTTTCCATGGCTGGGGCATTTAAGACCTCAGGTCGGGGAGTTGCAAAACTGGGGATCTATGGGAGGCCGCCTGGCTACGTTCAGAAATCTGAATAAGAGACTTCGGCTGGAGGAAACTTGCGAAACCGAGGGCATATCCTCTTCAGGTTTGGTGCAACGCGTTGGGAGAGGGCTTCGGCTTCGATGTGGTCTCATAGTCGCTTCGGGTGTGTTCTTCAGATTGTGAGAGAAACATCGCTGAAGAGCAGCATTGTTAGGAGCCGCGGTTTAGGGCTTAGGGCTTCAATCACTTCAATCATCCATGCTTTCGGTTCAACTAGTTTGGGCTCGCCGTTTTGTTTCTTTAGTTTGTGGGGATGATTTGGGGATTTTTTGCAAGCTACGGCTTAGTGGGGTTCAGGATCGGGGTGACCGTGCTATAATGATGCACTGATGCATGTTTGATGAAACCGGGAAGAGTCGGAGGCCCACATACGGCATGTGCAGAGGCAACGTCCGTTGGAAACCATCTGTAGGTTAAGCTTTTCTTGAGGAGTAGGGTTTGGGGTTTGAGGATGTTGGCTGCAGGTTTTTGAGGTTGAGGTGTGAGGTGTTAGCATTAGGTCAGGTTTAGGGCACTTGATCCTACGGCCTGGGCAGATGGTTTCAGGTTTTCGGGTTTGGGGTCTGGGCTCCAAGAGGGTTCAACTCTCGAAGCTTGAGAGCTCTTGGGTAGCCGTCCCATAACGTGTCAACGTGTCACGAGATTCTTGACGCTGGTCAGAGCTACACTACCTGAATGGCACCCGATTTGATTGGACTTTTGCCTTAAGGAAGGCCCAGACAAGAACAACTGTGCCCGCCCCCACGCCATTTTCAACAAAGCGAGTCTTGGTCCTCAGCATATCTCGTTACCTCGATCAAAGGTAGGCTATCTTGTGCAGATCATGCTGCCCTCATGCAAGACGTAAGTGAATAGGTTGTCGGCTTGTCATGTCATGACAGTGTTCCAAACTCAAGACTCAAGGCTGTCGGGCCCTGCATCATTCAGGTCAATTGGTGGCATCGCTGCCTGCCACTTGGCCAGAAGATTCCCCGAGGTCGGGTGCCCAGAAGATCCCCCAAAAGCTGGAGCCAAGCAGGTGCCGTTGCAGCTAAGGTGCAAATCCTCATCACAGATAGGACAGTCAAGCTCTCCATGAAGTGCCAGCGGATGCCCCTGCTCCGCATGCCTGTGGACCGATAGCGAGGACCATGTCAACTCTGGAAGGTGCTGCACAATGCATGCCCTTTGTTGCGCGTTTGCTGCAGAAGGCAGTTCTTTGACCGAGCATCAACGGGAGCCTGTCATTATTTTTTTTGCAATTGCCAGGTACGGGGGCTGGGCCGCCAAGGGGCTTCGGGTCACGTGGAACTGCCCAGTTTTTGCACACTTTTTGCCCTGCCGACCTTGTACTGTTGGGACTACATTTTCTTGACATATTCTACCTGGAGGGGTGTATTACATGGATGTCTCGGGTTTCGAAGTACCTGTCCGGCTGTTGCCATGGGACCAGTAGGGATCCTGTACCTTGATCTTCCGTGGGACATTCCAGCTGAGGGACTGTACTTGGGGGTCTTCGGTCATGGGCCTCTTGACCAATGCACAGCAACGAGTAATGTACTTGGGTCGACGTACATGGTTTGGTATCCAACGCTCTGGAGATACTGCGACTGTTGCGGCGGTGCGGGAAGGGGCTGGTGTGGAGTGGCGACTTTGGCTTGAAATCTTATTCAATCCTGTTTTGCTTGCACGGTGCCAGGTTTTGGTCGTTAGTTGTTCTTGTAATTACAGAGCAAAGGCCATGCGGGCAAAACTAGATGTGCCGGAACACGATCTAGGTCCCGGCAAGGAAAGAAGGTTAAACGCTTTTGCGCATGCTTTCGTTGTAACTCTGGTAGCTACATGCCGGCAGAGGAACTGTAGCACTGCAGCTGCAGCAGCTGCTGCTTGCGCAGCTTGCTGAGAAATTTTCTGCCCTCCCATGGCACAGTTGGTGCAGCCTTCCTACGTGCGCGTGGCGGACTTGAGCTTGACACAGGATGAGTTTGGTCGAATCTTGAGGCGAATTGGCTTGACGAGAGATGAAGTGAAAGGCGCGCCAAGCAAGGACCTGCTCTTCTTGCTGCATCAGAGGTTTTTCCATGCGATGCCGTTTGAGAACATCGGCGTCTTCGAGGGAGAAGTTGTCTCCTTGGATCTCAAATCCCTGGTGGATAAGATGTGTGGACCAGATGGAAACAGTCCCCGGGGCGGCTACTGCTTCGAGTTGAACAAGGTCTTTGCGGCTTTGCTTCTGCACCTTGGGTTTGAGGTTGAACCCAAAGGTTCGAGGGTTTTTCTGGATGATGGTGTGACTCCCAGATTGCCAACGTATCCACTCATGACCCATATGGTACTAGTTGTGAGTGCAGGCGCACAGCTCTTTCTTTGTGATGTAGCCTTCGGAAAAGTTGGTTTGGTGAATCCGGTGCCGCTTGACTCTGCGAACACAGGCCCCTTCAATGGGGGGCACTTCAGGTTGAAACTCGAGAGACAGACATTTCGAAGTCGACACGCTTTTCAGTACGACAGCTACTTCTTGTGGTACACAGAAGAAGCTCACTCCGAGACTTCAAAATGGACGCGCGGCTACTCCTTCGTGCCGGTCCAGGACTTCGATTTTATGGATGCTTTGCCGTGCAACTTGCAGGTTCATGGCTACTTCGAGAGCCCCTTCACGCAGCGACTCTGGTGTGAGAAGCGTTCCCAAGAAGCCCACGTGCGCATTTTGGGAAAGCACTTTCTTGAGAAAACCTCCGAAGGAACGGTTCAGAGAGATATCGACACGGCCGAAGAGCTGCAGGCGTTACTGCTGCATCATTTCAGGCTGTCCATTTCGAAAAGCATGTGTCAGCACATGCTCGGAGTCGGAACAGCTGCAGCTTCGGAAGACAAGTGGCGTCGATTAGTTGCTGCACGAGCCGGTGCTGGCTCTGCAAACAGTCAATCCCGACTTGTCCTTGGTATTGCCTTTTCTTTAGCTGCGCTTGCTCTGGTTGGCTGGATGAAGCGACCGTAGGATTAACTTGAGACCCTTGTACGTCATAGACGGTACATGTTCGAAAATGATCTCGGCTTTTCGAGTCACCTTGCCGTGCTCAAAGTGTGATGCTTCGCAACCTGCCTTTTTTTGACGTGGACGCGTTAGCAATGTACTGCATCGTGACACCGCAGCTGCGTTTTTGCGTTTACCAGTACCACTCGAATCAAAAGGAGCATGATGGAAGTGGGATCTGTGGACAAAGCAGGGCATGGAGCATAGACAATGAAGAGAAAGAAGAGGTCACATCATCTCTTTCCGGGCAAGCCCCGGTCCAAGCGAGCTTGGAGACTATGGCCGACACATAGACCAGCTGCCATGGCCACTGCCAACGAACTGCTGCCCTTACACAAGAGGCCACATGTCAACACATGGCCAACATGTCGCGACGTGTCGCAGCAGGCTTTCAGCCGGTTGCAGCGATGCCGAGCTACAGGAGACGCTGAGGTTTTCTCTGAAGCGGTGGCAGAGGAGTCCCAGGGCATTGTTGGGTTTGGTCCTGTGGCACCAGGCTCATCATGCTTTTGAACCGTGACTGTGATGTCAGGCAGCCCCGCATAGCAACAAAAACCTTGCAAGATGTGGCATGGAAGGCAAGACTCTCTGGAGCGAGGGTGTGCAAGTAAAAGTGTTTCGATTGGTCAGGGGCAGCAATGTTTCCTCCGGCTAGAATCTAGAAGTTTCAGGTGGATCCTGGGCTGAGCCTGCGCATTCTGAGCTGCATGCAGCTTGGACTGAGTCAATCCTGATGCCCCCGGGTGCCTCACGACCTCAGCGCATGTAAAATGACTGAGTGAGTGGGTGAGTGAATGAATGACGGAAGGAATGAATGACAGAATGAATGGCTGCAGGAATGATGAAATGAAGGAATGAATGGAGGAATGAAGGAGTTCACGAATGAATGAATGAAGGAATGAATGCAGGAATGAATGCAGGAATGAATGCAGGAATGAAGGAATGAAGGAAAGAATGAATGAATGAGTGAACCTTGCCTCCACTTTGTTTGGTTACGTTCACTCAGTTCATAAGTTCAGAACAATCAAGTTTATCGTGATGAAAACTGGGGCCTTTTGCCATGAGATAGAACCAGCTGCGAGGATATGATGAATGAAGCAACACAAATGAAAATAACGCAGTGAATTTCAGAAGTGCTTCCTTGATTTCCTCAGTTCGCAAGCCGCAATAGAACAATACTCTCGTTGTCGTGTTCTCATTCCTTCATTGCTTCTTTCCTCGATTCCTTCATTCATTCATTCATTCATTCAGTCAGTCAGTCAGTCAGTCAGTCAGCCAGTCATTCAGTCATTCAGTCATTCAGTCAATCAGTCATTGAGGCATTCAGTCATTCATTCATTCATCCATCCATCCATCCATCCATGCATGCATGCATGCATTCATTCATTCATTTCATTTCATTTCATTCATTCATTCATTCATTCTTTCATTCATTTCTTTCATTCATTCATTTCATTCATTCATTCATTCATTCATTCATTCTTTTCATTTCATTTCATTCATTCATTCATTCATTCTTTCATTCATTCATTTCTTTCATTCATTCATTTCATTCATTCATTCATTCATCCATTCATCCATTCATCCATTCCTCCATTCCTCCATTCCTCCATTCCTCCATTCCTCCATTCCTCCATTCCTCCATTCCTCCATTCCTCCATTCCTCCATTCCTCCATTCCTCCATTCATCCATTCCTCCATTCCTCCATTCCTCCATTCCTCCATTCCTCCTTTCCTCCATTCATCCATTCCTTCATTCCTTCCTTCATTCCTTCCTTCCTTCATTCCTTCCTTCATTCCTTCCTTCATTCATTCCTTCCTTCATTCATTCCTTCATTCATTCCTTCCTTCATTCATTCCTTCATTCATTCATTCCTTCATTCGTTCATTCCTTCCTTCCTTCCTTCCTTCCTTCATCCATTCATTCATTCATTCGTTCATTCATTCATTCGTTCATTCATTCATTCATTCATTCATTCGTTCATTCGTTCATTCGTTCATTCGTTCATTCCTTCATTCCTTCATTCCTTCAGTCCTTCAGTCCTTCATTCCTTCATTCCTTCATTCCTTCATTCCTTCATTCCTTCATTCCTTCATTCCTTCATTCCTTCATTCATTCACTCATTCCTTGTATTGAAGAGTTGTTCCTTTGCCTTTGCAAAACCCCAGATTGACATGATAAACTTATGCTCCTGTCACGTAGTTCATATTCTACGAACAAACTAAGTCTGCATTTTTGGGCCGTTCGTTTCCACTCGTTCTATCCAAGGGCAGAGAGCAGATTCCAGCTGGACGTCTTTCATTGCAACGCTGTGGCAACATCCTTGGCAAAGCGTCGCCTGAAAGCAACCAGTTTTCCCCGTCTCCCCTTTTCTGACGATGAGCAGTTGAGCGGCATGGCACCCAGACCCGTGCCTGTGTAACATAGGCTAGAGGAATCCTTTTGTCGGGCTTGCCCCACTTCCTTTCAACAGACTGTATATCTCGGCTGCAGGTGGCTGTTGGCGCGAGTGCTGTGATCTCATCGACAGGATGTCGACTTTTCGAATATTGCCAGATTCCGTGTCTTGGTGCAAAGCGCAGTGCACAGAGCTGGCAGAGAGATAGTCGTGGCCGTTGCCCCAGCTGAGGTGAGCGCCACAGCGTCGTTGGTCGCGATAGAGAAGCAGAGTGCGTGGCCGGCTGCTTTGCAACTGATGTCTTCCTTGAATCAGCACGAAGTGCAGCCCGATACGACACTGGAGCTTACAGTACGCGGTCTTTTCTGTTCTATAGTTGTTGACCGAACACTACCCGCACTTCGTCAATCGATCCTGTGCGTCCCAAGGATTGTTGCTAATGCAGCGATGCGGGCGGTACAATCTGGCAGCGAATGGCAGCAAGTTTTAAGTCTCTTCAGGGGTAGTATCGAAGCGAGCATCCTGCCGGACAAAGTCGGCTACAACATTGTAGTCTGCTCTTTCGAGAGGCATCGCATGTGGGAGCAGGCACTGGCCGTGCTGCACGAAATGCCTTCGGCACTAGTGATGCCTGACGTGGCCAACTGGAATGCTGCGATGAATGTCTGTTGCAAGGCTACTCAGTGGCAGCAGACACTTGGATTGCTGCATAGCATCCCGCCCAAGTTACGTGCCACTCGAACAAGTCACAATGTGGCAATCTATGCGTGTGAGCTTGGGAGCCAGTGGGACGTTGCTTTGCAGCTCTTAGCGGCAATGAGAGATGCAGACGAGGCTAGTTTCAGTTCCACACTGGCGGCCTGTGCCACCACAGGAAGCTGGCAGGCAGCTCTGGACATCATGGGTTACATGGTCCGAAGTAGCAACGAGCCCCGGGACTTCGACCGTGCAGCTGCAATCCGAGCCTGCAGTGTGGGTCAGCGGGTTGACTTGTCCCTTGAGCTGCTAGAAGCCACGCTCCGCAGTCGAGCAGCGCGTGGCAGACTCTGCTACGACACCGCCATGCAGGAATGCAGTCGTTCGAAGCTTTGGCAGCAGTGCCTGCAGCTCTTACACGACATGCCCCACTATAGTTTGTCACCAACCCCTGCCAGCTATGACACCGTCATCAATTCCTGTGAAAACACAGGCAAATGGCACCTTGCATTGTGCTTGTTGGGCGTAATGCCTGCCAGAGCCGTTACACCTGACCTTTGGAACTTCTACAGCGCTGTGGGAGTTTGTGCTCATGCAGGGCAGTGGCAAGCTGTGCTCCGCCTTCTGATGGTGCTGCCTCCAAATGCAGGACCTGATGCTGGCATTTTCAAGCACGCGATTCTCGGCTGCGACGATGCTTGCAAGTGGGAAGCCGCTCTGGCCCTGCTCGGCAACATGCCAGCGGTGAAGGTCCTTCCTGACGGAGGTGCTGCCTCCGTCTCTCTACCGTGGTCCGTGTAACCCCGTTCGTTTGACATCATACAGCCAATATTTCATGAGACCGTCCACAGGTCTTTGACAAGGGTAGATGCTGTTGGTTGCCACCCTTCACGCTCGTTCGCGGCCAACTTGCTGGCCTGCTTTCGCATGGAACCTTCCGAAATATTCTGAGCAACTGAAATGCATGCTTGCTGTTCTCCCGTCGTGTTTTTGTTGTGTGTTTGCGGCTTCACCAACTACTGACATTGCTGGTCAAGTAGCACGGCCTTAAGGTAATTATGGACCGGTCGGCTCTACATAGGTCATCATCGTTGGCTTCATACAGAGCAGTGAACCTGTATTGGACAGCCGCCATGTCTGATGCATTTCCAAGTTATGCATTGCCAAATTTGGCGGGCTGACCTGGTCATTCATCAAGACTGTGGCAGTATCGAGTCGTTGCGTCTTGAAGGCAAGTCCCGTCTCTGTTCACTGTTGTAGCCTGCAGCAGGTTGTTTTGATGCAGCGATCGGTGCATGTGCTCGAGTGGCTCGCAAGCAAGTGGGGCAGTTGCTTTTCACGGTTATCCGATGCAGAAGTGTGCATCTAGGCAAACATCATCTGAGGTCGGGCAGTGGCTTCCAGCATTGAGTGTCTTCGAAGAGGCAATGTCCGTTGGCAAGGCCCATCCTGGGTATCATGATACGCAGGGCTTCGCAAATCCAGACATTGGAATGCCCAAGACACAACTTCCCAAGACGGCCGAATGTGCTTTAGTCAGGCAAAACAAGGGCTTGTTTGGGTCTGAACCGGATTCTAATCGGTTGGTTGGTTTTTCAGCTCTCGTGAAATTCAAGTCGGCTGCTGAATTGCTGGCATCGGGTTTCTGAAGGATTGCTGCGTGTATGCTCGGGTCGGTTTTTGCACAGAAGCTATCGGCAACCAACCCGCTGGATGGGCGTCCGACGGGCTCGTCAAACAGCAGGATTGGCACTTCCCGAATTAGAGCCCGTGCACACAACGACACAAGCGCACCCGACTTGCCCAAACACCGTCGCTCGCCCCACGGACCACAGAAGCCATTGTCGTGTCAAGAGTCAGCAAGCAGTGCGAACGCGACCAATCGACGATCACAGACACCTATGTGGGGCTTGCATCCGTTCTCTTTTCAGTTGGTTGACGTTCACGGGTCAAAGGAAAGAAGTTTCGAGGGAGTGTGGCAGAGCACCAAAAGCTGGACGGGTACGGCATCTGGTGAGGTGGGCACTAGGGCCGTGCCGTCAATCCAAAGCTCCCACAAGCGAGCCCTACCCGGCACACTCTGCAGTCCTCCATTGCAGGCTGCGGCGAGCTCTTTGAGCTTCGTGCTGACGGCATGCCGCACTAGCGGAGAGTGGGAGCTGGCACTGCAGCTGTTTCGGCCCCTCGGTTTCAGAGTCTCACACTGGAAATCTTGAAAGGATTTCACTGAATCTGAGAGGCAGCAGCCCCTCGAGCCGGATTTGGACTGCTTCCGTGCAGTGATCAGTCTTCCGATTGCACTTTTGCCGGGTGTACTGCGAGCCCTGCAAAGTTTCGTGGTCTCTGCATGCATCTTTAGCTCATGACCCTTCTGACTTGCTTTGGCTCAGGTTCCTGTCAACTTCAAGCCGCATGGCGCGAAAGCCTGGCGCTTCTCGAGGAGATGCCGAGGCAGAGGGGGAGCTACCTTGGGCCTGGAGCATTACAGCCGCACCCTCGTCCTTGTCTTGAGGCGAAGACTTGGACCTGACGTTGTGAGCAGCTTTGCGCCGCAAACACATGTTTCAGATGTTGAAGGAAACAGCGGTGACTGCTCCTAGCCGAAGCCAAAAGAAGCCGAGGCACTTCCACCGTCGGAGACGCATGCACGAGGCTGGGACCGGGACTTCCGCCAGGGCATGGAAATGTCAAGTGCCTGTGGCTGTCAGCTGGTCAGGGCCGGCGAGTGGCAGATCGGACTCGGCTTGTTCGCGCAGTTCCTGCGAAGCTCTGAGGCCCAGGCCACCTGCTATGGTGGCTACGGTCCATGTTGCTGTTGAGCCGCAGGTTCTCCTGCATGTGCCCGGATGTGCAGGATTGTCTGGCGGAAGCCATGCGCGCCTGCTGCTTGGGCTTCTGCTGGGAGGGTGCCATATCCCTTCTGCTGCGCTCCGACAAGCAGGCTTGCTCTAGGCATGTCGGCACACAGCGACTCAGCATGAACGATGTGCATGCTCGGAGATTCATGCTTTATGCCGTGACACTCCAAGCACACGCCTTGTCTCCGGAGCTTGGAGTCTCACACGTCGGTCGCAGGACATCGAGGACTGGAACTTCGTTTTGACGACCTGCCGCCGCTCGGAGCAGTGGCAGGCTGGGCGGCTGGGCCGTCGTGTGGGCCACGGTTACCTGGATGCTGTCGCCCTACTCGTAGCGACGGTGAGGCGACCCTGGCCCTCTTCCGAGCTCTCCTGGACCAGCATCTTCAGCCTAGTGGGACCGAAGCTGGGCAGGGAAGGGCTGCAGGGAGCGGCAGGGCACACAGGGCTGCAGGGCTGCACCCAGAGACTTCGAGACCGACTGCCCAGCAGCGACATCTGCACTCAGGGGACCTTGAACAAAGAACGTTAGAAAGAGGGGACAGCTGATGCAGGAAGAGTGATCTGATTGAAGAGTTTAAGGCTTAAGGGTTGCAAGCTGATGGGAAGAGCAAGCCAGAGAAGCCGTTGTCCTTCATGCACAAACAACATCGCATCAACTGCTGCTGCTGCCGCTGCCGAATCGCTGGTTGGTCCATCAGTGTTTTTTTTGGCGGCAACGACTTGTATGACTTCAGGCGGTTTGGACCTGCGCCACATATAAGTTCAACCCCCCCGTCATTCTTATCCCACGAGTCTATGCTGACAGCAGCAGGGGTTCCGAAAGTTTGCGCTTTTGCGTCCACCGATGACGAGAGCCGTGTTGCAGACAGCTTTGCGTTGTAGCGCGTTCTAGCTTGCGACTAGTAGCGTTGGTCATTGGTTCCTGATGTGGCAGGAGCACATACAGTGCCGTTATCATGTCGGCTTTATCTTGGAGCGGATCTGAACAACAACTTGCTGGTGCGAAGCACAGTATCAGACGATAGCTTCACCTAGTCTTGCAGTGTTTTGCAGAGCTCGTGCCAGCACAGGCCGTGCGCTGCCGAAAACTGGCAGTCGCGGCACCGTTGCTCGCAGTGCCGAGCTCCAAGGCCGATTCAACGGACGGCGAACAAACGGCCGCCATTGTGCAATGTGCCATGTCGGGACAGGCGCCGATTCACCGTCCGCTTCGGCACCGCAGCCGGACCTGTCCGTGCCACGTGGCCGGGTTCGTCGAACCTAACAGCAGTTTGGACTTTCATCTTCTTCGTCCCGTGGAGAAGCTGCATGAAGCTGCATTGCTAAGGCTGCGCCTGCCTTGGCCGCAGAGGCCCCAAAGTACGACGCGCCTCGTGCTCGATGCATGGCGAGGTCAGGTCTGCAGAAGTTCGCCTGAGAGCTTTGTGCTTTGTGCAGCTTGCCAGAATTTAGAGGACGTGCGCTGGTCACCCCCGCGTCCTTGTGCGGCCCTGGCCCGGAGGCCCTTTGCGGCCAGCAAAGGGCTCCACTGTGGCACAGTGCCGCGATGTGCCGCGCATGGCAGGACGTCCGCAGTGGGTCCCAATCCGACGTGGAAGGCTGGCCGTGGCAGCGCCAGAAGGCTTGCGCGGAACAGGATCGAGTCAGAGAGACACTGGCAGAAGTTACAAAGGGCACTTAAAGCCATGAAGATCTGCAGAAACGGGACCATGTAACACTTCGGGATGGCTAGCACTTTCTTGAGGGGTCCTTGGCTTTCCAGCCTGAAAGTCTTGCGGTTTTGCTGTCCATCGCTTTTTCCAGGGTTGGCATACTCGTTTTTGTCAGGTTTGCCACTCCTGCTCTCGGGCTTGGCGGGTTATTCTGGTCTTAGCCTGGCTTCAGCTCCGGAGTGGCGCCTCTCACACACATTCCTTCCGACAGGCTTAGAGACACTTATGACGCGAGCTCTTCCTTCTCAACATGTTCCATGATCTCTTTCAGGGGCTTTTTCAGTGCCTGCACTGGACCTGGTCAGGTGAAGCTACGGGCGGAATCCCATCCAAAGGCCCAGCGTGTAAGTCAGGGGGGTCTCTCCTTTGCAGCTGAAAGATGCAAGACACTCTCTCTTCTCTCTTCGAAGGAGCAGCCGCCTGGGCCTGGGCCCACGCAGTCAGATTCCGAGGCTCCCGCGGCTCCCGTTCCAGGACGTTCCAGGTCTGTGTGGTTTGGGAATTCCCTTTGCAGGTGCCTGATCGCGGCACTCAGATTTTCCATGATTCTGACGACACCTGAGACTGCCCAGTCCGGGCTTGAAGCTCAAGGCTGGCAGCAGCTTGATTTTGAGGTATCGGTATCGGTATCAGTGTGTGATCCGATCCATGACGATCTACTCTCTTCCGAGCTGGCGGCGCTCGCAAAGCTCTAGGCCCTAGGCATTCTTGAATGCATCCGCTCACGGCGGATTGTTAACGTCCCAAGCCGAAGACGAAATCTTCTTCGGATTGTCGTTCCCTACAACGAAATCTTTTAATTTAATGTCAGTGAGAGTCAAGGTCTCCGCTCAAAGAGTTTAGAGGAACTCTTGACTCTGTTGGCGCCTCGACATGCCCACCACGCATTCGAGGAGACTCACTGCGTGTGGCGAAGAAAGGCCAGAGCAAAGAAAGTCCTTGTCCTTTACACAGAAGGGGAAGCGTCGATATGCGTGGATACCGTGATCCGCCTCAACTCAAGTCTCAACCTCCTGTGCTGCAACAGCCAGGTCAATGGTGGCCGATAACACGGAGAACTTTGTAGAGGCAACCAGCGCATGAGGATGCCGTTTATAGCCGCGTCTGCTTTGAGTGCCAGCTTAGCCAGCTTAGCCAGGTGCGATGCCACAAACTACTGATATGCGACCCGCGGGACAGTTTTGTGCCGGCACAGGGCTGCTCCACGGTGCCGGACAGGCAAGACTTTGCTGTTCCGCAGGACACAATGATTTTGGAGCTTGCTTCACTCCGAACCGCTGCGCGGCTCCTAAGAGTGCCGGCTTTTTGATCGAATTTGTTGTCTCGGCAGCGTGTTTGAAAAGCCGGCTACTGGTTTGCTTCGAAGTGCCTAGCGAACGAATCCTGCCGAGAAAGCGACGATCCTTGTTCTGCAGGGCAGTCTGCATCGACCGAGGTGGCTTTACAAGTCCTGGAGCGTGTCTCGCATCAGGAGCACGCAAAGGAAGCTGCTTGGGCTGTTGTCTTCGTGCTCTCAAGAGGAGCGTCTAAACCTCGATGATGCAATGCTGAACAGCTTTGCAGAGGTGCACGGTCTTGCAGCACTTCGAAGGTACCTGAAGCCACTGCTAGGCATGGTGCTTCTTTGACGACCTCTTTGCCTTGTGCGAGGGAGAAGAGGCCTCGCTGATGTTTCGGTCTTCTTGTTCAGTGCATGGCCGGCTAGGGCTAGCTTTTCTTGAGGATCTTTCCGACAGATTCTCTGGGCGGCACGAAGCTGAGCGAGTGTCTTTCATGGGACTCTGCTGGAATCTGTGAGTGGCTTCTCGAATAGGCAAAGAAACCACATGACGGACTCGCCCAACTTTGCGAGTGTGTCTTGCTGCGCAGGCCAGCGCGCCAAGTTGTTGTCCAAGATTCGGTGCGGGCGACAGTTCAGCACGAAGAGCTTCAAGCCAAACATCGAGAGATGCTCCCAGGTGCGTGTGAAGGCTGCAGACTTATGAGACGGGCCAGTGAGAACACGCTATAAGTTCGGTACTTGCCAGTGTTGAGCTCGCAGGCTGAGAATGCCGACACGCAGTCCGTCAGCCGCGGTGGGCTCGTTCGCTGCGACTATTGTCACTTTGTAGCCTCAAGTGCCACCGCATCGAGCACGAAGATGTGTATCACCTTGAAGTCACCTGCTCTTAGACTCCTCGTGACCGAGGTGGCGGAGCCTGTGGCAATGCAGTTGCGGGCGGTCCACTCCTTAACGTGCTTCCGCACAGTTGCACCGTGTCCTTCCCTGCTCGAGAAGGTCCGGCTTTTGAGCGTGCTGGTACCACGTGGCTCGAGGAGCAGGGATGTTAGCTAGTTGCTGTCTGTTGTCTGCGTTTCTGGCCCGTCGTGCCCGGTGCTTTTTGTTGGGCTGCTGTCGATATCAGTGCGTTTTTGTTCTCTCTGTCGCTTGGTGTTGGGCTTTGTTGTTTCGGACCGTTCAGAGTTGTGGTGGAACGCTTGCTCGTTGAGTGTGTTTGGTCTTTCTGCAGGTCTGCGTGTTCGCCAGAGGCGATGGAGAATGTCAGAAAGACCGATCAGCACATGACAGATGAAGACAGTGAGAACTTGATGCATAGAAAGCAGATGAGCGACACTTAAGATCAGTAGCCCTGCCAGAGGAAACAGGAGAGCCAACAGTGAGACGCGCGGAAGAACTGCACAAGAGAAGAAATCCTCGCGGAGTTGGCGGTTATCGGTTTGCAGATTTTCGCCGGTTGAAATAACGCATCTAGTCATCGAGTTCGATTTCGTAACCTGCAACGCCTCTCCATTATCGTACTTGCGTGTACTTTGACAGCTTTGATACGGGTCAGTGTCTCGCTTGTTGCCCCTGGTGGACCCTTGAGGCAAGCCGCGAAAGGGAGGGCGTGCATGGTACGAATGCCTTAAAGACAGGGAGCTTTTCTCGGAGCCGTCGTGTCAGAAGTTCCAGTATGTGGAGGACAGACACAAAAGAGCGGCGATTCTAGACCCCCCATCGCTGAATCAAATGTTGTGAATGAGCCTGGGGTTTCGGACATGTCAACTGAGCGGCAGCGAACGATTTCATGTTTCCGGATGCTGCTACCAGGTCCCGTAGGTCCTACAGTTGATGCCTCTATTGCTTGAGTCTTTTCCCTCCGCCCACCCCGCCCAGTGTTATCAGCGTATCCTGCCTGCATTGAATCGTGTGCTTTGGAGCTTCGGGTTGGTCCCAAGCCTTAGACCCCAAAATGCATTGGGGTCTTTATGTCGGCATAGAGTTCAATAGCCTTAACGAACCATGTCTTTCCAGAACAAGGGCAAACTTCGAACTGCAAGTTTCGACACAAAAGCTGTTTTCTGTGCAGTGTAAGAAGCAGAGCACATGAACACAATCAGCATTTGCAAACTAGTTCAGCCCCAAAGTATCACTGCTAGATTTAATCCAGGACAACGTAGAATTGGTGCGCTCGGCACTGGCACCCTTCGAAGATCAGTGCGCCTGCTGCAAGATGTGAGTAGAACAGCTGGAAGACGATGCAGATGATTTATGGATGTTCACAGCTCCGGGGCGCTTGAGGCTTCACCACTTGCTGGAGGTAGTGTGCGAGGGCATCGAGGGCGGAGGCCAAACCCTGGGTGAGGTGCTCGAGACTCGCGGCAACCTGTGCCACGGTCTTAGGTTCACTGTATCTGGCCCATGACGATGTTCTTGTTTTGCAAGGCTTTGTCATCTTTGTTAGGCTTGACTGTTGAGGCCATGCACTTCGGTGCCTGCTTGCCAACATGCAAGTTTCGGCCTTGGAATCATTGTTGCTGCTTGCCAAAATACTCGCGTCAAGCATGCTCTCAGGTCTGGGGTGCAACCGGGAATCCGCGCGCTGAAGGGTGTGACTTCGCCTTCTTATCGCTTGGCCAGGACAATTGTGGTTCCTGTTCCTTTGCTTCAGTGCTACGGGGTCATGCGCTGGGCGGCGGTGGCATTGTAGCTTGCAGAAGCCGTTGCTGCTGAGGAGATTCCTTCTGGCTTAATCGAGATCGACAGCTTCCTCTCCAAGGCCTGCTTGCCTTTTCTCGCTTCGTAGCGTTTATGGTGGTGGCTCCTCGATTCGGAGAGGACGAGGTAAGTGCTCGTCAGCTTGGCCGAGCACTCAGCCAACGCGACCCGACACGGTGGCGACTCGAGCAGTGTGCAGGTCAGACCCGTCTGGCAGAGATGATGAGCACCCTCCATCCGGAGCGCAGAGACGCCCAAATACATCCCAATATGCGAACTAGACTCTAGACATTTTCTGTGCTCTGCGTGTCGCAGCCCGCATTTCCTTTGGGGTCGAGACGTTGCTCGCGAGTGTAGGCTTGCCAGTCGAGCACAGCGGATTGTCGACAGGACAGCCTTGCGCAGTTCCATAGACATCTGGCTCGTGCACGAGTGACTGCCGACTGCTGAGTTATGACTCAAGCTGAGTTTGGCGGAAGTGATGTTCTGTTGATGCCCTTGGTTCTGAGGTAGTCTGGCGCGAATTCCGACGCCGGCAGAGCGTTTTGCAGGGTGCACTCGGCAACTTGCGCGTCCAGGGTGCCTTGACTGCAATGTTCCTGATGTGAAGAAGTAGTTCGCAAACGGCATGATTGGAACGGCAATGGGGCTAAACATCTCCAACGGGCGAGCTTCATTCTTTGGGGCTTTCCTTTACACGCTCTGCGAGATGTCCGAAACGAGTTCTCGCCGCCCGAACAGTGTCTGTCAGAAGTGATAACGACAGACTGCTTGGGTTTGCTGTCACGAGATTGGGCCTGAGGCAATGATGCTCAACAAGAGCAGCTGGACCGACTGGTGCGGACGATCATTCTGAACTTGGATGAAATCGGCAGCTTCGTGTCCACTCTCGCGGCATTCTTTAAGAACCTTGCCTCACCCAACATGTTTTTTTGCTGGGAGCTTCCTTGTTGCAGGCACCCGCAGCAAGCAGCTAAACGCATCATGCATGCGGCCTCCGAAATCGTGCTGCCTCATTTCATCGGTCGTCCGAGGAGTGTTGACTTGGCAGAGGTCAGTGAGAACCCGGCAATCCCTGCAATTTCTGCTGTTGTTGCTAGAACATTTTGCCGGCCTGCTGGTGGTCGTCTGCCAGGTCCAAGGCGAGCCGCGACCTGTCATCGACAGGTGTGGGGCAAGACTGACATCTTGGAACGCCCCGATGTGTGCTGCGATGCTGCGTCAGGTCGATGGCAGGGTATGTGATGCATGTCGATTGCGGTCACAACGGGCCGCTGGACGAGGCATTTTCTTCGATTGTGACAGTGTTCACAGCAGTGAGACGACTCGACTTGCGCTCGAGGTCGACCTGCGTCAGCTCTCGCTGCACTTGCGCGTGTCTAAATTTGGCAGGGAGGAAGTTTGAGTCAGATCTTCAGTCGACACAAGGTGTCGTTTAAGCCTTGGTGTGTAAACTTGCCTCCGCTGCCGGAGCAGGTGCATCCTAACTAGGCGTTTCACCCTATCTTGGCTCTCGCTGAGCCACTCGGTTAAAAGTATGCATGCCGCTCCCTCTACTTGTAACAGAGAGCTTTGTTGCCACACTGTCCAGCGCGCAAACACTTTGAACTTTTCTGTTTCGGCATGCCGGCCACGTGCTCCCGCAGCTTTCCCTTCAACCTCGCTGGAACGGGATGGCCATGCGCTGCCAGGTTGCACTTGCAGCTGCACTTGTCGTCATGATGCGTGCATTATCGAAGAGCTGAGGTTCCCAAGGTTCCGCCCTGCAGAATTATGGCTCCTCTCCTGTAGGGGGCCCTGAGACTCTCAGAGCGACGCGGGGGACCGTGTGACTCTGTCAAGGCCGGCAGCACCTTCCGTGAGGTGGCATCAAGCCTGGCGAATGAGTCCGGCTCCGAGAGCTCTGCCACTCTGCTACTGCTCGAGCCGCGCATAGCCGCGCATAGCCGCGCCTGCCAGCTGCCAGCCGGCCTGAGGCTCGTGGCGCAGTTGACACAGGAGCCGCGCGCCTTTGCCTCCCTCCCTTGCCCTGAAAAACTTTTCGGGAAGGAGCATACGCGGGAGGTCACTGCCATGTATCAGGAGGCTTGCTGGCTTGCTTCGGTCTTTGGAAGAACCGTGCTTCCACACAAAGGACGCCCAGCTTGTGCTTGTTGACCTGCGCTCGCAAGCGGCCGCAAGGTGATTGCTTTGCGAAGTGAGCTTCAGCGAGTGGCCGAGCTTATGCAGGCGTGCGGAGCCAGCTCCAAGGTTGTTTCTATTTTGACGGTCTAACATAAACCAAGGAGTCAAGCTGCTGACTTGCGGCGATGTTTTGTTGGTTTCTTCGGGTTCGACCATCCCAAGTTTGTTCCTGGGGACAACACGGAGGTCAATCGACAGAATGGACCCAAGGATCAGGGAGCTGGCTGGCACCTCCAGACGGATTCCCGCTCACGACATACGGCATTGTAGCTGGGAGCGTATCCTTCCACATCTGCTTGCTACTGCATGGTACCTTGATTGGCAGTTTCGATGTCTACTTGCCTTGGTGAATGTTTCTCTGCACCTCGCACTGCTGTCGTGCAGGGCTACATGCAGCGGGAGAAGCAGCTACACGCTCCTGAACCGCACACCATCCTCGCCGCGGCGGTGACAGCCTACTGATGCAATGCCAGGAAATGATGGAACAGCTCACGAGTACTTACCAGGAGGTGCGACGAATGTTGATACCGCAAAGGGCTTGGGGCATGGTGTAGACCATGTGATGTGGCTGTTCCGCAGCTGGTCGTATGTTGACAGCGCACATAGCAAGTTCGCAGACAAGTGGACAGATAAAATGGGATGGCAATGCAGCTATCCATGCTTGTAGATGTTTCTTGCAACCGGGAGCTCTTGAGCAAATGAGCCTGCCATGGATGACGATGCAGAGGTCGAGGTGCTTGGGAGTTCCTTGGCTTGTCCATGGGTGCTCTGTCAACAGCATCGTTTATCCAGTCCAACACTCCCCGCGAAAGCGTGGGCGTGCAAAAGCAAGATGCATTCCGTGAAAGTTGCAGTACTTCGCTGAGCACCTCAATACACGTATGCCTTCGATATCTCGTTGGGTGGCTGCCGTCTCACTCCCCTCTCCTACTCACCTCTTCAACAGTCACTGTGGTGAAATCGGTTTGTGTCTCATTCTCCGACAGACCGAGCCATCACATCAAAGGCACCGTTACACATCACCAGATCCGTTCGTTGTTGTTTAGATGAGCAGATGACCCATCACGAGCCCTCAGCTCAGCCTCAGGCCCGACGGGAGAGGCCGGATCTCTGACAGGCTCGGGTCCACGCCTCACTGCGCCATTTGGGCCATGCCTGGCTTTGCCAGAAAGGAGACCAAGCCCAAGCTGAGCTTGACCTTGTGGAGGATGAAGTTGCAGGCGGATGCTGCCACACTTTTCTGGCAGTGTGAGCAGCTGTCAGCTGTCAGCCTTGTCTGCCGAGGCTCCGAAGCATCGGATGTTGAGGGCGGGGCAGTCAAGGACTTCCTGCAGCGTACTGCTGCATGGGCCTGGTGCTCGACAGAACTGAGCAGATGTTTTGCTCCAGTTTCTGTGCCTGCGAGCATCAGGCAGCTAAGTCACAGAACTTTCACACCATGGATCTGTCGGACTCGGACAGCTCGATCGACAGCCCCGGAGGCAAGCGGTGCGGCTGTGCTTCTGCCTCAAACATGCTGCTACCTTATCCCAGGCCACTTGGCGCGGCTTGCTTTAGCAATGCGCCGTGGAGCGAAGGACTGGTTTTTGCCCGGCACAACCCAGGAAGAGTGTCTCCTGCGAGGGTGTTCGAGCTCGAAGGAGACAGAGTTCAAACGATTTCAGTTAATGAACTCTGAAAGTTGCAAGATGGCGGCGTTCGAACCTGGGCGGCACGTGAGCCACCCTCAAACTTCGAACTATTGAAACTGGAAACTGTCGAACCAAAGAGAAGCTTTCAAACTTTCAAACCATCGAGCTCGAGCAGCGACTTTGAACCCAAGCTCCAAACTTAGCCAATGCCGACCAGCATTTTTCGAACTTTGAGAGTTCGATAGTCTCGAAAATTCAGGAGACATTCAAAGCTTGATCGCAGGTCGACACTGAGGTCGACGAAAGAGTGGGCAATATGAGGAACGTAAGCCACCGTGCGGTCGTCGTCCACGTCGTTTGTGTCAGATTTCAATCTAAAGATGTAGTCATTAGAAGGTGACAAGTTTGTTCAATCAAGAATTCAACTCCACAGTGCTCCGGCCAAAAGCCAGATCAGGCATGCAAAAAGGGTGCAGTCTCCCGATCGGGGAGTGGTATCCCGCTTCACAGCTTGATGTGTGCATGTGTGTGTGGGGAGCTGGGCGACCAGCCGTGAAAGCATCAAGCCTATCCTACTTTGGTATGCATTTCTAAGTTCTAGCAGTTGAAATGTGACATGCGAACACGGTGGTGCTGTTGAAGGAGCGGAAGGTCTTGGAGGAGATCAGACGGGAATCCTTGGTGGAGAAGCTGATGGAAACAATCATGCAGTTTTGGAAAAGGACATCGCTGGCTTGCTGAGTCTTGTGTCGATGCCATTACGTTCTCGATAGGCTTCTAACATGGTTGCCAGGAAAGCCCACAAAGATTGGGTCATGCCGGCGAGGGACATCCTTTGGAAACACGTTGCAGCCATCAGTCGCGACACGGCTGTCAATGACCCGCATCATTGCGCGGAACATCGTTGATCGACATGCTTTATAGCTTCAAGCGCAGGGCCCCTGAAGGTTCTCGGCAGGTTGCCACGCGGCTGCGAAACACGGCAGAGGCCTTGGCCCGCTTCTCAGCAGATTGGCTTGAGATCGGAGATCACTTCGACACATCCGTTCTTCGCTTTCGAGGCCATTTTGCGCGCCGCCGACGATGCCGATAGCACACACACTTCAAACAAGGTCGAGGACATTCAGCGAAAGAACTTCTGGGCGCATTGGCCAAAGCGAGTTCGAACTAGCGAGTCGCATATGGGAGACAGAACAGACGAAGTGCCCAAGTTACTGCATGGTTTTCTCGAACGAACGAGAACTTTGCCACCTAAGGCGGACTACAAGTCACGGACACTTCTGCAAATGCAAGACGCGGATGCAGTTGGTGCTCGAACTGGACTTGCAGGCACCTATAGGAAACAACACTTGTTCAGTAAGATGCTGCGAGAGCCCAGGGCGTTCCGGCTCGTCTCAGAAACGGAACACTGTCTGGGGCTGAGACAAAACTAACACTGCTGTGTTGACCGCTTGTACCAAGTGTCATAGACTCGCAAGGTGATCAGGTTGCCAAAGCTGTCTCAGGGCGAGCGGGCACCCTTGACGAGCCGCAACTTGGCATTGCACTCTTCCATCGGAAGATCTAGCGTGTCGTCGGGTCATCAGATGTTCCATGCACGCTAGTACCTGCTTCGAGGAGTCAGCCGTGCACCAAATCGGCTTATCGTTCTTCGGGACGACATACAGCTGACACCGCGTGGCAAATACATGCAGGTGCAGTCAGTATCAGCGTTCTGGCAAGAAGACATGTCCGATTGCAGTGAGAGAAAATGTCAGACGGCGGTGCTGTGTGGTGCACGCGAAATTTCCGTGCGCGACCGATGCAGCAGTTAACGGAAGCCACGAAGACACAAACCAACAGAGCTGGCTTGCAGGACGCGCCCAGGAACCTGATAAAGGTTGCTTTAGGGCCTGTTCTTCCTTTGCTGAAATCGTGTCCAGCGTGTCCACTGAACGATTTCAGCGAATGCTTTACGGTCGGCAGAATATGTGTGTGCTTTGCCATACTGGAAATCACCGGCGAGGGCCAAGCATACCCAGAAGCAATGTTCACCTTTGACCGAATGGGCTTCCGAGTAGTCTGAAACCTCGATCTGTGGCTGCACGATTGGCGAGAGGAATCATGACAATGTGACGCTTGCTACGGGCCTCGAGTCTCGATCAGCAGCGAACAAAATGATGTGGCACCAGCGAAGAATTTATGATCATCAGATATCATCAGCGAATTTGTGCCCTGCACGCTTCATGATCAAGTTGTGCGCTGAATGCTTATGTCAAGCAGGAGGGGGAGCATCTGGCCAACGGCGAAGCCTGTGCAGAGTGCTGTTGCCAAACTCGCAAACCCGAATTGACCAAGAATCATGCAGCGTGACTGCCAGGGATATTTTGAGCGGCACGAGCTTGCGCAAAGGACGAACCGGATCAGCGGAACTCACGAGAAAGCCTCATTGTTGTGAGTGCGGTTTATCTTTCCACCACGTGGTGACGCCACTGATCTGGTGATCGCAGAGTACTGCGTGGTTCGCCCACCATTTCCAAAGCAGTGGCCTTCTCAGCTCAGCGACCGTCAGAAACACCAAACTGCTTCTGCAACCCTCCATGAAGGCAGACTCCAAAGTTGAACACAGCCTGATCTGTTGCAACATCGTGAGTGCCGCCTTGAATTGAGCAAAGATTTGACTGACATATGCCCTTGCAGTTGTGCAGCATGCGGGGCATTCGACCTGTTCTACATCCGCTGATCACAGGCCAGTAGCCTTCATGCAGGGATGCAAGTTCCCCGTCAAATGGGGCATAGACAGCTGGTGCGTGCAGGTGAGTCCTCTAGCTTGACAATGGCCAACCAGAACCTGACTGATGGCGATCTGCTCCCGTTGATTCCCTTGCTAGAGTCTTGGCATATCTAAGATTGCTAACGGCACCGAAGTCCTCGCTGCGGTAAGCGGGCACGATTTGAAGCCTGTGCACGCTGTGCACGGGCAGAGCTTTGTTATTGTTGGGCACAAAAGACATCTCAGGAGGAGCTCCAGCTCGATGCAGCGGATCTAGCCGGGAACCGGATGCTCACAGACGCTCAGCAGCGTCAGCGTCTAGCAAGCCGTGAGCCAGTCAGCAAGTATCCGGCATCCGGCAAGCGTTCTTCTTTGCTGCGAGGATAGATCACTCGTGCCGCTGCCCGAGCCTCAGAGCTGCCAACTTGCAGGAAGGAGGACGACCCGGCTGACTGCGCTTCGAGGATCCGGTCCTTGGCGCACTCCTCCTTTCTGCAGCGTCTCTGCTTCCGCTCCGTCCTGGGCCAAAGCAGCGCAGCGTTGCTCTCGGAGATGCCCTCTTGGCAGCATGGTGTAGGAGTAGGACAAGAGAGGCACCACGGAGACAGACCGGGGGTGCCCAAAGCGAGAAAGAGGAAGGACGGGGCATAGCACTGATCGACAGGGGCACTGGAACTCTCGTCAGGCTTTTATCTAGCTTCTGAGGCAGCAAGGGGCCAAGACAGGCCCTGCACTTTCCCACATGGCCAAGGCCGGTAGAGCGTGTGGGCCTTGATCGGCCCTCAGCTCTGAGGAGAGAAAGACAGAACGCAGGGCCTTTTGAGCCTGAAAAATCAAGCCTTTACGCGATTGGACATGGGGTATGTGGTCTGGAAGCACACAGGCACGAGGAGGCCATCATGGAAAACCTAACTTCCCCGTCCTTCAGAGACTCCGTCTCCTGTTTTGAGGAGGTTTGGCCTTTTCATAAGTTTTTCTCGTCAGAGGCTGCTGAGCCGCAGCGCCTTTAACAAGCTCTTGCAGCTGGATGTCAGCGAGGCGCGGGATGGGAAGTCCGACGCCGACAGCAGCCGACAGCGGGGCCTCCGCCTGATTTCCAGGTGCCTCTCCACCGGAAGAGCTTCCAGGGCTTGGCAGAGGCTCTGCGGGGAGCTCTGCGGGAGCTGGACAGACAGACCAGAGTCAGAGAAAGTCTTGTGAGGCCATCGCGCACCATCCAACAATGCTGGATGTGAACTTGGCAAACACAGGCACAGCTGTGATCGTTGTGTGAACTCGCCGCTGCATTTGATGTTGCCCCGTTCATTGTCATGGCCGAAGACGAGACGTTCAGGATTCGCACCATACGCAACCGATGGCAAGTGACGGCCTGATTTGATCCCCCTGGTGCACGTAGTGGAATGCTGTTGCTGAGAGACAATGTCGGTCTCGCTTGCGGTACGGCTAATCGACTCATCTTACAATTCCGGAACTCAGGATCTGCATGAGCCGCTAAGCTGCAAAGCCGCGGCAAGAGGGGATGTTGTGGCACGTGCTCCCGGTGCTGGCGGTTCGCACTCGCGATGCGAGGCTGGCTGATGTCCTGCCCTCGTCTCCAGAAGTTGGATCTGTCCTGGAACTGCCTGGACACGCCGCTTCGGTCGCAAGCTCCCGCCCCCACAAGCTCACTCCTCCCTATATCAGCGGCCTCCCCTTCCCTGTGAGTCCGGCGCTCCAGCAGCTGGGGCAGAGCCTGTCGAAGCATCGGGGCCCGGAGAAGCTGAGCCTGGCCGGTTGCTCCGGGAGGTGCCCGGCGCTGGGAGCTCTGCAGACTTCGTGCCTTAGCCGTCTTAGCACCGGAGCTTCCGCTTGGCCTTGGGAGGTCTGCAACCTCAGATCTGCCCATCGAGCATTTCCTGGCCGGGTGACTCTTAGCACCACGAGTTTGTAGACGTCACGTGAATGAGACAAGGAGCTGCTGTCCCAGAACGGCACTTTGAAGCATTTGGACCTGTCGCTCAATCACATGGACTACCGGGCCGCATTGATCCTAGAGGATGCGCTCGAGAGCGCTCCTCTTCGAAGCCTGGATCTTAGCGAGAACCCCCTTGGCCAGGCCGCGCTGCGTGTGTGCATGGATCAAGCTTTGGGTTTGCAGCACGGTTGCCAATGGCAGGTGGGCTTGCGGAGTATCTTGAGATTGCTCTGCAGCAGCAAGGACAGAGGGTTCTGCGAGCTCGGGCTAGCTGCCAGACGGAAAGATTGATTTGCTCTTTGATCGATGATTGCAGTCCAAGCTACGCTTCATCGATCTTGGCGGTTGCACAGCCGGAGCAGTGCAGCCTGGGCCGGACGGAAACCAGCTCTTCAACTACATCAATCCAAGCTGCGCGTCTGCAACATGTGAGTGAGTGCCCTCCATGGCACGTTGCTGCAGTGACACCCAGGTGGCCTGTATGACTTGGACTTATCCCGTCCGTATCATCGGAGCTTGCTGCGGATGCTGTACAAGAAGTGTGAGCTGTCTGGGCAAACTCCTGCTTCAGCGTTCCAGATTCAGAGCAGCAGTGTGCCGTATAGCCACCCAGACAAGAGGGATGGAAGATACAACGTCCCGTCCTCTGGGCAGCTGTCTGCGGCATTCGCGCTTGCATGGCGTGATGATGAAGATGACATGTGGGGATATGCGAGAGCGGTGTATCTGACGCTTGGAATGAAGGTGAGAGATTGAGGTTAAAGGTATTGTCGGTTTTGCGTCTAGCCAAACTGCTTGCGGAACTTCGGAGCCAGCTGTTGTGGCTGTGGCCCCGAGGAACTGGACGTGCCGTCGTTTCTCCCCTTCTGCTCACAAGACAGCCCAGCTTTTGTATCACTGGGAATTGGCCGCAGAGGATTCCCAGGAGCAGCTGATGATCCTGGAGGCCACTCGAACACCAGCACTGCAGACGCAAGCAAGACTTCATCGACCCGACCTTGTGCAGGTGATGGCGAAGGACTTCATGATTTCCTCAGCCTTGCTCCAGGAGGGAACAGGGGCGGTCAATGGCAGTCACACAGACGGTCGTCTGACTAACTGCTGGGTCACTTTGTTCGCCGCACTACCATGCATGCTTTTCTGAAGCCCCTGGATATTTAAGCCACCGTGGCGATCACGATCTTCACGTCGGATTCTCGCAGAAAATCCGGCGCAGCCTGCTTCCGGTACTAGTAATACTTTCTCGGGCAACGCAGGCTGCGCAGAGTAGAGTGTAGATTTCGCCAATTCCATGTCATCGTCGGCAAAGAACTGCAGCCCGGGTGCAGATGCTGCCAACAGTCGTCAACAATCCATGCGTGAAGAAGCGACAAAAACCCACATGGATTGCCATGAGCTTCGCCATGTCGTGTCACCTTGGTTCTTCGAACCGCTAGAGTTCTATTGGATACAGGACATGAAGAGGTATGGAGACATCTGGTGATGCCCAAACGACAGAGCAATGCATTTCTGATGTCCATGCCCGAGTGTGATAGCGTTGTGTAATATATAGTACAGCAAAGCGTGGAAAGCAGTGTTGTTACCAGAAACGGGCCCACTGGCGCTTGTGGCGGTGCAGCTCTGGCAGGAGATGTGTGCGGGGAATCCAGATATGCTGAAGAGCATCCTTACTCGCCTTATGCATTGTGTCAGTGGTGGCATCTCCGAGAAATTCCTCATCATGATGTGGCTCGTCGCTCGAATCGCCTGCTTCGGCTGCCTGCGCTTTGAGTGCCGACTCCTGGTCCTGGTCACTTTGCAGGCGGGCGCCATCAATGAAGCTTTATCTCCGTGTACTGGACGGAGTCAAGAAGTTGCCCTTTGGCGGCATAGATGTGGCTTGTTTAAACGGAGAAATGTAGCTTGCAAGGCTACTCTTCACGCCTGAGAACCCCACCGGACACTACTATCTCGACATGTCCAACAACGCAGATTATGCTCTGGCTGAACAGATTCTGGTTCTGAACCAATGGGAAACGAGGCATCCCGTTCAAGAGTTGGAAGTGCGGCAAAGGTCAGCACATCTCTCAGCTGCCACTTCGCCGTGTCTCTAGCCGCCAGCCAGGATTGAGGAGCGTCTGGCATACATGGATACCTCGCAGTATGGCAACCGCTGTCATCTCCGGAACATGATGTATGCGGGGCGGCGCTTGCCGGTGCAGGAGCACCGACCCTTTTCGTGAAGTGGTGCCCGCGAAGTCCCTGAGACTCTTCAGACCATGTGAGGACGTGAAGCAATGGATCCTTCCTATGTCTGACGCCTTTGCGTTCGACTATGTAAGCTGCAAGCGGCCCAGCAGCACGGAGCCGACCATGGAGCCTTGGCACGCAAGTCGCTTGGGCCACTTGGGCCTTCACTGCAGGAACTCTGCTGCAGACCTTTTCACAGAGTCACAGAGACGCTGCAAAGGAGAGCCACGACTTCGACAAGCTGCTCAAGTTGCTGACCAGGCGCACGGGCGCACGCAAGTCTACCCCTATTACCTCGTTGCTTCGGACATTGATTTCGAACTAAGCGACCTTGTCCTGTGAGGAGGAATGGCACCATCTCGGAGATTCGACTCAAAGCTTTGCGAAGCGTGTCCACGTACATCTTCATAACCGCGACGCAGATGCGTCAAATATTGAATCTGTTCGAGGACATTCGGCATGTTAATGTCCTGTGCTAGATGTCTGCTTTGCTGACGGTCTGCTTGCTTATCCGAGATGCGCAGGAAGAGTATCGGGCGCGCTGCAGTGCAATCCGCATGCAAGACCAGAACGCAGAACGGATGCTGCCATTGACAGCATGTTGGAGTTGCTCATGCCGCTGCTTGTGCGACTCCCAGGTACTCTTCTTCTTTCGGGTGGTCGATATGCAGAACGAAAAGATCTTTCGATGTGCTTTCGAAAGCCCAGAGCAGCTGCTGAACGTTCAGAAGAGTGGCTTGTCCGAAGCTGCGTTGTATGCATTGCATGGGGGAGACTCGAGGCGAAGTCAGCCTTCTCCCTACACAGTGTCTCAGGTTTGGGCTTCGTGGCCTCTTTCCCATACATACAACCAGATCATTGGACCGCGCCTCGTCGTTACCTAGGCTCCGTGGGCCGCAAGCGACCGCGTGCAGCTCTGTGCAGCTATGTTCCAAGCTTGGACACACGAGGTCGATCTGGATCTCACTCAGCACGACCAGCGCAGAGCTCTTCATTGTCTCTGGACTCTCGCGGAGCACGAGAAGTTGGAGCACTTGACGAAAGTGGTGGACGGGAGGGGTATGGTTCCAGTAAGTTGATAGAGGGTTTCGACATGCTCCTTGCAGGCTTGACGCTATTCTGTTGCCCTGAAGGTCTACACGACGGGCACGGGCAACGTCCTTCAAGGCAACCAGTTCCTGGTGCCGCGATCGTGGATGAACTTTGCCAAGGGCTCAGCACCAGTCTTAAATTTCAGCAACGCATCCACGTGGTTTGCTTCGCAATGGCTGCTGCAGAGTGCACCGTCATGTATGTGTTTGCAAACCGTTTCATCTCTCTGCAGGAGAGCGTGCCAACGAGTGGACGTATCAAGGTTGCGGTGCAGTGTTGAGATATGATGGCCTTTCCTGATGATTTAGCTGTCTTTGAGGGTCATGACGCAAGGAAACAAGTCTTTCCGTTCGGCTAGCTGACACACTTCAGACGAATGAGGGGGGAGAGTGTGCTAGGTGACCTATGTTGGTGGCAAGGATACCCGGAACTGGACCTACCGCAAGAAGCTGTACGATTCTCTGGCTGCATGTTGCCTTGCTCTGGCTTTCCTTGTCTGCTGAGCCGCTTTGATGGGGAGCCGGCGTTTGGAATCCAAGGAGCAGTGCGGCCACTGGAAGTTGGACTGCAGCAGTTCTCAGGTTCAGTGGTGGTCCTCGCTGACAGAGGCGCCGGAGGAGGTCATCAAGTTCCTACAGCTTCTTGTCTGAGCCGAAGCCATCCGCTCATGCTCCAGCACCGGCTGTCAGCCATTCCTGCCATGCACACAGGTTGCTGGTTGGTAAGTTCAGCGACTTCGACGAAGCCTTTACCTTCATGGATGGTGGCGTCCGTGGCAATGGTGTCATCAACTTGAAAGAGCTGCACGATCCACGGCAGCATGGCAGGTGGTAGGTCTGGTAAACAGTTCGGCCGCCCGTGAACTGAGCGCGCAGCGTGGTATGAGGAGCGTATGCAGCGGATGGGCGTGAAGTCCTTCCGAGGCGAGGGAAAGGGGAAAGAACGAGCCGCGGTAGACAAGTTCTGCGGTAGACAAGTTCTGTCCACTCCACAACTATGGCAGGTCCTTGGCTTCAGAAAGTCTTTCGCTTTCTGGACCCAAATGGAAGCGGGAGCATCTCAAGAGAGGAGCAGCTGAGCCCTGAGAATCTGCTTCCTTTGTGCTTTGCCAGTTGCCGCGGGGCCCGGCCCGGAAGTCTGTTTCGGGAGGAGTGGACCGAGCTTGCAGATTTGTACAAGGAGGTTACAATGCGACTCAACGAATTCGCGCTCTTCCTGGAACGATGCTGGGCATGTGAACAGGTGATACTTGGATTTTCAGGTTTTCATTCTTTTCCGGTAGGTGGGTACACTTGTGCGTCAAGTTGGATATTTCGGTGAGGTCCAAGCAGGTTGCCACCAGACCATCATGGCCACAGGGCTCGAAACATCCTGTATCGTGCGGCAAACAGCCTACGCTGAAATCTTCGTTCCTCAAGGGGTCGTAACATGTCTTATGCTTAGGCAAAGAGTGAGGAGAGCTTTCCGCTCCTTGTCACTTCATGTCTGAGCGTCTTCAAGCGAAACAGTTGTGGCATCGCTATCTGTCGAGGACAGTTCCCATCATCGCGTGGAGCACTGCGGAGGGTATGGGAGATTTTGGTCTTCCGTCTGCACCTCTCCAGTAAAGCCCTGACATAGTCAGCTGCGCAGCTGCATACCTCAGTGGCGGAGACTTGTGTTCTTTTGTCTTGCACAAGCAAGGATCCCGAAGGTGTGGGCAGCATGACGCGCAGCAAGTTCGAGGGTGCCGTGCGAGATCAGCTCGGGTTCTTGGGATCAACTCGTGGCTCGGATCACTTTCACCGAGGGTTGATCCTCAAGAGGCGGGGCTGTCTGGATGCCTGAGCCGGTGTGATTCAGGTGTAATCGTGGATTTCTTGGATGTTGACGACACGGCCCGGCATGTTCTATGGAGTCTTACTCCATGGTGCTATTGCTACAGTGCTAGAAGCTTCTTCACTTGCCGTGTGCTTTGCAATCCTGGAGGGCAGCATTGACTGGAAAGAAATGCTTCAGCTGAGCTTTGGCTGCAGAGTGCTTGCCTTTTGAGCGAAGGAGAGCACTGGTCCAGTGTAGCCTGACCGAGGGAGCGCTTCATGAAAGATGTACGCCCGCAAAGCGCATCAGCTCTGCAAGCATCGAGCCCAAGCAGCACTTTCGAAAGGCCTTGGTCAGTGCAGAGTCGCAGCTCGCATGCGCAAAATCGGGAGTCGGCGCCTGCCAGGGATGGATCTGCCTCTAATCGAAAGCTGATCTCGAGAAGGAAATCCGCCCTCCGCTAATCATGCGAATCTCTGCTGCCCAATTGGCTGGGTTGTTTCGAGCTGAATCCTGGATGCTGAACCTCGCGTTGCCTCGAGTCGCCTGTAGTGCTGGCCAGCAGAAGACACAAAGTGGGTTGGCAACCGCGTCTGGTGACTTTAAAATGCAGACATGCTCAAGACAATTCAAGACACATGACCTTGCCAAGATGTGTTTGTCAGTTTCCGCAGTTCGTTTGCGCCGGCCGCCAGCCAAACCACTTGGACAGATGGTTGATCTCAACCAGGGTTGTCCGCACAGCAAAGCTGTCGCGGCATATTTTGATGCTGCACAGAAGTGCAAGCACATACCCCATCAGCGAGCAGAGCCCCTGATGCCTAGCATCAAGAAGCATGCCGCGCCCGTTAATGAAAACGCCGCTTGCAGATTAGATTGCAGGAGGACCCTTCAGTGCTTCAGCGGTAAACCGTCCATAGGTGGCCACGTGACCAAGCATGCAATCCAACAGGCCACTGCTCATTTTCACGTGGCACACTCCAACTTCAACGATCATGCCGAAAGCCTAGATTCGACGAGACACAGGCGTTTCGAGCTCGTGGCCTGTCCCGCCTGTCTAAGGCCAAGAACGCTGCAGTGCAGGAGCCCGAGGTAGGCGAAAGTTGTCCATCAGATCCATCACTAGCAGGAGTCCTCCAGTTGCAGCGCCTCAGGTCTCATGATCAGCAACGGAGGGCTTTGGCAGATCCGATGCGCTGCGCTTTGCTGAGCCTGATGCTGCATGCCACTCCTGAGACATCGCGCACCTAAGGCGGGACACTGAGCTGGAGCTACAGAGGCTACAGGGGCCATGGGTGCATTATCAAAACACTTGGAAAAGACCTGCAGGATCAACGCACTTCTGGCACAGCCGCCGATACCGCCCCCGGACGTGCCTTCACACTTGTTCCCCAGCCGCATCTGGATCTGAGGAGGTGAGCTCATCCGGTTGGACATCACCAAAGTTTTTCCTTTTGATGAGCAAGCTAAGGCAGCAAGGCTGCCGTTCCACCTTGCCGGCGCAACTCTCGGCAGCAGCGGTTGGAGAAGCTCAGTTGATCGGTCTCTCACAACCCAGGTCAGTACAGGCTATCGAGGCTCGCCGATGCCCAGCAGGAGCAGCATGCAGCTGAACGTGTGACGTCGAGAGCTAGCACGATGCTGCAGATATATTGCTGGTTTGCCTGCGGCTAAGTATGACAGGGTCATTCAAGCACTTTCTGGAAGATTTGAATAGTCATAGTTGATTTCGAAGACGTGCTAGAGACGCTTCAACTTGACGGCTGCTGGACGTGGTGTTGTTTAACGTCAACGTTTCTGGGCAATTAGCCAGCTCAGCCGGAAGCGCGCCGGTTTCTCATCAGGTTAAAATCACCAGATGGTCGCGCCAAAGGAGCGAAGCGGAGAAAGAAGCCAATGCAGCGGAAAAAACTATATCATCGAGTATCATTGTTTCTGTTCTGATCGGCTACATGGCATGAGCGGCACCAGTCCTGAGAATGTGGGTGCCTCAGGCCGTCTTGAAGAACCTGTTGCAACGTCCTGCGTGAGACTCGAAATCTCAAGAATTGCTCAGTCATGAGTTCTTGTCTTAGTACAGGCAACTGCTCAACAATATCTATGTGTGTTTTTCATTTCCTGACGCCTGCTGACGACATGTGCAGCATGCATGGAAGAATCAAGAATCCATAGGCTGTCACAGCAGTCGATTTGGCCAATGCTGAAAGCTACGGCTAGGGCGAAGGCCTGGCTGCTCGCGTGGTGGCCCTAGTTGTGGACTTGTCGGTCCGTCTGATGTATTGGCTCGTGCCTCATTGCCAAGTAAGTTCTCCCACACCCCCCGGGTCCAGTCGGTGCTGACGGGCCACCGAGACTGTTGCCATGTGCGTGCAAAAAAAACACCACCCCCCCCGTCCCTCCGACCCGTGGAGGGCGCAGCCCCGGCGCCCAAGTTGCGGATTTCATTAAGTTGAGAATGCTTGGCCTTACAGTTCAGGGTCTACTACAGTGCGGGTTTAGGGTCTGGGTCTAGTGTTTAGGGTTTACCAGGATTGTCGTATGGGATTTCTTTTCGCTTCGCTTAGTAGGTTTATAGTAAAAGCCGCGGTAGGATAAAAAACAGGTTCAGGGTAGTTTACATAGAGTTACAGTTCTTCATCACGCAGGGTTTAGGGTGGGGTTCAGGGTAGTCTCTCTCGGTGTAAGTGTAGGTTTCCCAACATGGTTCAGAGTTTAGGGTAGTGGGTCAAAGGTGGCTTACATTCGGTTTAGGGTTCCATGCAGTATTTCGGGAAGTGGGTTTAAGGGTTTGCATAATTTAGATCTGCGTTGGGGAATGATGCAAGGGTAGTTTGTATAGGACTGGCGGTTTTCACGCAGGGTTACTGATGGTTTGTGTTTGGTTCAGGGTAGTTTATTTAGGGGTTTCGTGCCTCCAGATCTCCTCTCAGCAGCTGAGTAGGCAACCATGAGCCTTGTCTGGGTGTACAGATATGCATACACATTGTATGTCTACATGGATGAAGATAGAATATATATATATATATATATTGCATATGTGTTGCCATATATATATATATATGTATATATATATATATATACACACGCATAGAGTTATTGCTTCGATGCTTATTTTTGTTTTCAACTTCGCTTTGCTCACTGTATCAATCGATAGACATGTCTGTCCACATACAAGAACTACATATACAATCCGAACATGCATAAACCGCTGAGCTGTGTTGGGCCGCGGAACTCCGCAAGTGCGGCGTCTTCGAAGCTTTGGAGTATAGAAGTATAGAATCCACACAGTTTCGGGACAATGTCGGAGCCTGAATCGTTAGGATAATATCACTCAAAGCCTTGTTTCACTCATTCAGGCCTTATATTAGACAGCGGTATGAAGTTCGAATTTTGGGGCATACTGACTTACTTCCACGCAGAGCCGTAAAACCGAATTGGTGTGGCATAATCGGGCATTGGGGGGAGTGGGTGGTGGGGCTGGGAGTGGGACCGGAGAGCTTGTGTTTGCAGAGTATTTTGTTTGCACACTCTCCTGTCTGCCGTCGTTGTATTTTCTGGGACTCACATCCCCTCTGTCACTGAACTGAGGTGTGCAGCGTGTCTGCACCGGCCCTCAGGAAACTTGTGGAGCTTAGGCTAGACTTAGGGTTTGGGGCTGCTGCACCAGGTGTTGGTGATAGTGCTCGACTTGCGTTTCGCCGATGTGCCAGAAATTAAGCTGGTATCAACCACGCGACCTCATGAATGCTCATGTTCGACCTATGAATGCACCGTGCCGTTAAAGAGCATCCGCTGCATCCCAGCACCATGTCTAACCATCCGGGGTCATCGTGCTGCAGAGATCTTGTAGTGCTGTGTGATCTCACACCATGGCGGCGGTAGTGTCCAGGACTCAGATGTGCGTGTGGCAAGTATTGATAAGTATCACTGCAGTGTCTGAGCCAGGCCGACGGATCCAGACGCTTCCTTGGAATGCTGTGGATGTCACATGCATGGCCCAACGTGGCCCAACGTGGGACTTGAGAGACTTCGCCTGCCCGAGGCCTCTCCGAGCCGTTTCCGCGACGCCTGCGATGCACTGCACGACGGTGCTGAGGCGGCGCGAAGGCCGGATCCGGAAGTTTGCACGAGTGTTCTGGTCTGCGACCTGGTCTGCAGGATTTTCGGCTGGGCCTCGGGCGTACCCGGCCGCCTCGTTGGAAAGGCAACCTGTGATGACATCTAAATTACCTCGCCACTGCTTACACTTCTCGAGGATGCAGCGTGGCCTCTTGGCTGAGTTCAGAGGCAAAGGCGGACAATCACCCCCGCAGATCTTGCGCTTATGCTTTCGCCGGTCTGCCAACAAGGCTCGTAGCCGATGCTGCCAAGTTCGCTGTTGCAGATCTGCCGCATCTCGGATTCAGCGACGAGCGGTTGTAAGTTTTTCCTGCACGGTGGGAGTTGCATCAAGGTTTGGAGTGTTTTTTGAAGCTTTGCTGAGCATCATGCGTAAATGCTCGAATGACAAGGCCTGTGCTGCTCGGGCGAACTGCCGATCTTTCGCGGGCTTTGTTAAGTGTCCGCCACTTGCCTGCATTGAAGAACATGTATTGGAGCCTGATGTGTTGCTGGCAGTTCATGCGCATGGTTCTAGTTGATTCAGTTTGGTTGCCCGGTGCACAAGCGCAATCTCGGATGCTTCTTGATGTGAGGCCTACGCGAAGTCGTGCAAGACCCCAAGAAAGCAGCAGCCTGTGCTACTCACAAAGCGCTTGACCTGATGGGAGGCCAGCACAGTGGGAGGTTGAATGAAGGGTCTCTTTGCACTATACCTTGCAGGGTTGGCAGGACTTTGTGTGAGCTTTTCGCACACGGACTGTGACACGTCCTTGTCAGGTGGCTTCGTGAAGATGGCGCAGGTCCGGGTCTTGGTCATGTTCGAGTCATTGTGCTGGGACAAGCCCTCGTTCGCTTGCTCAAAGCCGTACAGTCTGTGATTGCGCGGAGCGAGGGCACTCTGAAAGGACTGCAGGATGCAGGGCGGATGCGGGCGGGAGAGGTGTGACGTTTCGCCTGTCCACCTGCGCAGAGGTGGTGGCGCACAGCCCGGCCCTCTTCCCGGAGCCATTGGTGCACGCATGCCGTGGTTTCGCGGCTGCAAAAGAAGCGACGCTTGAGGGAGTATGCGGAATATTTCAAGCCACAGACATGACGAGACAAACGTATCTTTCTCATCGATGGTGGCACGGAAGCTTTGATCTTTGGGATCGTGACAAAAGCTGAGGCAGTCTAGCTCAGGCATAGTCCTCAGCACTTGTGTCCAAGGTCTCCTGATTCAGAGTGTTCCGTTGTGCAGCAGCCTCAGGCCGTGACGCCTCCGGCTCCGCTGGAAGATATTGAGCAGATTCTCAAGGAGGACGGTAAGCGGAAGGCTTGTTGCCTAGTCTGGGCATGTTTCTTAGGGAGTTGCAACACGGAGGACCTCGGTCTGAAGATTGGTGATCTCTTTGAGGACTGGATTCCTGTCCCGCTTGTGTTCCCGTAGCTTCGTTTCCCCTGACGCCGCAGTGAAGGAATCCAGGAATTCATCATGTAATATCATGCATAACTCTGCAAATCCCCAAGATCTTTGAGGACTTCGAAGCGGAACCCATGGCTGCAGCATCCATTGCGCAGGCCAGCAGCGGCAGAGCGGCAGCCTCTTCGCGGCTTTTCAGGGCAATTCCTGCTCAGGTGCACGCTGCTAGACTCCGTAGTGGAGAAAGGTGTGTGTGGAGCCCAGGAAACAGCCACGGAGGCCAGTTCTATCGCACAAAATGCTACAAGATGTTGAGGTAGTGAAAGTCGTTCGCCCCCGCGTGCGGGAGCGACTGGCAGTTGACTTCGAATGTGTACAGTTGGCTGCGCGCCTTGCAGACCTCATCCTCGGGGAGGACCCTGATCCGCCCAGACATCCGAAAGTGGCAGACCTGACAAAGATTGTGCACAGGAGGTCGTCCTTCAGCTGGTAAGTGCCTCGCTTGAGGGATGCGTAGAGGACCAGCCTCATCTGAAAGTGAGCCCGGCTGTTCAAAACGTTCAGATCCTCAGAATTTCCAGGAGCTGCGAAGAGCTGTTATGGCAGAGTGCGATCTTGCCATGGAGCGGCAGAACATTGAGGCCCGGGCCCCTTTTACTTAGCGTCGCTCTTGGAAGGCTGAGCTGCACTGCAGGACTTCGCCCGGTGGCTGGAAACATCAGCGCCTCGACGGCATCGCGAGACAGAGAGCCTCAGAGACGGAGCAGAAAGCATCTCGGGGTTTTGTGGGCTGTTCGAGGGTGTGAAAGGCGGGCTTCGCGGAGGCAGACTGGCCAATGGACAGCACAGTGGTCGTGGCTGCCCGCCGCAAAACTAGAACACCGGAACTGTCCGAACTGGGAGGCGCAGTTACTAAGGGACACCTGAGTGGTTTTTATCAGGACAAAACCCCCTGCTCCTGCATCCAAGAAAGCTGGACGTTCAAATCCCCCTGCAGTGGAAGCGCCTTCAGGGGGCGACAGTAGTAGGCCCTGGTGTCATAATGACGGGCTGCAGTTGGAAAGGGACACACAGGTCGGCCTAGTTTAAAAAAAGAGCAGACCGGAGAGCCGACTGAAGGACTGTTCCGTTGCGACAGACTTCGGCAGGGTCGGAGGTAGGGGACTCTCTTTGGAAGGCTTGCGCACTTGAGACCTAAGGAATCTTGAGGGCTCGGGCCCGGCTATATAAATCATGCCGGGAAGGCTTTTCTAAAACTATGATGTGCAGCACACGCGGTGCAAATTGATGTTTCTGGGCACGCAGCGAGGATGCAGGCCCCCCCTCCCTTATCGCAGAAACGGTGATACGAGGATCGCTTCAGCTTAGCGGCCCGGCAGAGCAGAGCAAAGTTGCAGGGAGGAGCTGATTACAAGGAAGAATAACTACTGACCTTCTTGCAATGACCCACCTTATCTCTATGTCTTTCGGAACTGGTGCCGTCTCATTGAAGGCCACGCTTCGCAGAGCTCGCCTGGCAAGTGCTGTTCGTGTGCCGAAGACGTATGAGGATGCTTCCTCTGTCGCTTGACTGGAATTCGGATGGAGCCCCCAGTAATATGGCCATATGATTGTTACATGGTTACAGCTGTCCACAGACCGTGCCGTCAGCTTGGAAAGCTAAGCCTCGTATCCTGACCATGGAGCGCATTGATGGGCTGCCGTTCTCCGAGCTCTGCGCGAGTGGAGGTTCACAGCCAAGCAGTGCAGCGGACTTACCGAAATTCGGGTCTGCAGATACCAGAACACGGGGTCTGGTCTGCACCACTGCAGCGCCGAGGCTCCCGAGGACTGGCAAGCTGCTTTGACGTCTGCACTGAGCGTTGCGGCTGTGTCGGTGCTCGACGGCTCAGCTCTCTTCCATGCAGCGGCCTTAGAGCGAGGCCCTGCTGAGGGCTACCCTCCCACGTCGTGGTCACGGGGTTTTGTGGTGGTGCTAGGGTCCGCAGCGCAATTCGCAAAGTTCTTAGGGGCCCAGCCTGTGACTGCAGTTTTTCTTCTTGAATTGCGGTGCTGATACTTCTGATGCTGCTGATCCTCTTGCTGCCGATGTCTCGTCGCTCGCGGCGGCTCCTTCGGGTTTAGGGCCCGATGCGAAGCCTCCATGGCTCTAAGGCCGACCTGCACACCGGCAACATGATTGCGGTGAGAGGCGCTGTTGCCGCACTGCAACCGGGAACTGGCCCGAGCCTTTTCTCTGCAGGGCCGGCTGGAGAATGCCGGGTGGTCGGGAGCTCAATGGGCCGTGGCTTCGGCTTCTCGGCCTCTCCTTCGTCTTGAGGCCTTCATCGATTTCGGCTGCTGTGGTCGTCTGCCGGCACCACTGCGAGGCACTTTGCTGATGCAAGCCTCAGCAACTTGGCCATGCAGTTCAGATGCATCGCCAGAAGCCCACAGTCCGCCTCGTCAACTCTTCACTGTCACTCTAAGGCCTTTGCCGGAGGAAGGCCTCCAGCGCTCTCAGCACTCGTGCTTTGTGTTGTGCCCCTGCGAGCTCCTGCATCAGGCCAGATGTGCGACAGTTCTGCGAGGCGGGTGCCGGAAGCTTCGGCGAGCTTGGCGGTTCAATGCTTCGTGAAGTGCTTTGCAGGGCTTTGCGCATGCACTGCAGCGAATCCCAGAACTTGGCCGCGAGGAGGCTCGTGGTAGTCGCGGCTTGTGCAGCTTGGCACTTGGGGTTGGCAGAACGGAACGGGAGCTGTCACACGAGCTGCGGTGCTTGTCTTCTCTTCACCAGAGGACTTGGACGTCGACGCCCTCGCCGCAGAAGCTCGGCAGCAGAAGAGTGCTGCCAATAGTTATCATTCTGCCACTCCCAGCCCTGCTTCCCTCAGCATCCGTGAGTCTTTAGTCTTTAGACCTAGACTCAGAGTTCGAGTATGCTTCGCTCCGTAACGTGGCTCGGAAAGAGTCGGGTATTGGTGTTGTAGTTCCACTCTCTCGCGTGCTCTCCAGCAGTTTTTGTTCAATTTCGCATCGGCAGCTCAGATTGCCGGGAATGTTATTCGCCATATATATTTGTAGCTCATACCTGTGGCAAAGGACATGAAGCCTGTGCTGAAACAGCTTCAGCTCCTCAACCCCTTCAGAGGACGGCTCGCATGCAGCTTCTGGGTATGAGTAGAATGGCCACGCTGAGCCCAGTGAAGCTTCTGGATCCTATGCTGTGAACGTGTGAAGCTTGGCTGAAAGGAGGTGCTGACCCGATGTCGCCGGAGTTGCATATAGAGCTCTTGCGCCTACAGCGGGTCCTGTGCCGACATGGGGTCACCTGCTTATGTCCTCAAACGCTTTGACAGAGAGCACTCGCCCTGTAGCGGTAGTTGGTGTGTCTCCGTGGTCTGAGGTGCAGCTTCCCCGCGAGTTTACTCTCCTGATGAAGACGCATGTCAGAAGAGAGCTGCAAGAGTTGCGACTGATGCCTCGTGATGCTTTTGACTGCGATTGTGGACCCAGGACTGGTTGCTTCGGTGCTCTGTATTTCTCGCTGTTGGATGAGCCAATGCTGCAATGTGTGTGTGTGGGTGTGTGTGTGTGTGTGCATCGCTTGCTGTTGACATACCTTTAGCACCACTTTTCCCCAAACATGAATCGCACGGCTCACCAAATCCAGCCTCAACTTTCCAAAAAGCCTACAGTAGCCATGCCATTGGACAAACGTGCATAACTTTATCCTTGTCCGATGCATTACAAGTCATTGAGCCTCAACACACCAACGTCACAGGAAACACCTTACCCGGAACAATAATTTACGTAGCATCTCATCTCAAAAAGCAGGGCGAGCCCCCTTTTTAAACAATTGCTATTGTATGAAGGAGTACCAGGCGCCAAGGGACCAAGCCCAAGCCCCTGATGGTGGGAGACGGTGGGAGTGGATCAAGTTCAGCACAGCCCGAGTGGAGCCGCTGAAAGTCCACATGCAGCCAGATGTACAACCTGCTGGTGAAGCACGTGGTGGGGTACCTGAGAAATCCTACCCTGGAGCAGTAAGCAAGTGCCAAGACATAGCAGGTTACCTTCCTGGAAAGGACATCGCGACCTTGGCAACACACACAAAGTCCCTCGCAAACTGACACGCCTTCGGTCCTGATGATCACGTTCGCTGGGCTGGGACTGCCGCGGACGCGGTGATGGAGGTCAAGGGCTAAGGAACGGGAAGGGGACCTTTGCATTCTGGGGTTAAGCGCCACACTGAAAGCTCAGATTTGAGAGCCGGTGAGGGCTTCCAGCGAAGATGCGCCTGACATCCTGAAGGGATGATGTGCAGTGATTGATTTTTCACGTTTCGAATTTCCATCCACAGGCTAGAGACAAAAACAGCAATCTCTTAATGCCTGGGTCTGTGGCACCACGCCTCGGGTGGAAGTTTGTTTTCTCTCTACTTACACCCCGGTACTGTCCGAAAGTGGCCTCGGTACTGTCCGACTCGGCAGCGATTTTGGAGATTCCTAGCGTGCAATCGGCTTGATCGTGTTTTTGCTTGCTTACATGTTTCCTTGCCCTTGTGGTGAGTGCTTGTGTTGGAGTTGTGTTTAGTTGTGTCGCGTGCGTGGTGCCGGCCGCTTGATGATGCAGCCGCTGTCAGCTGGCTGTGACATGCTGCATCATCTTTTGTGGGGGAAAGGTTGCTGTCGGTCATTGTGCCTGAGATCCCGCGGACTCCGATGTTGGTAGTAGTGGATTCTGACTTCACCTTGACGGCTTCGCCGAAGCATTGTCGGCTACTTGGCTGGCTGCTGGCGAGGTGGTTGTCGCCACGGACGGCTCTGCGCTTGAGGAGGGGGCCTGTTTTTTAATTGCCGTTGAAGGGGCCGCATTCTCTCATTTGGTGTTGAGGGGGACGAACAGTCGCAGTACAAGAGCGAGGTCCTTGCACGCTTGTCCTTTTGGGCCGCCCTGGTGGATCCTGGTCGTTATTATCCACAAGGATGCCCTGAACGCCATGAATGTGCATGGGCCGCTGTCCGTTTTGAACTCTTGAAGCATGCCGAGAGATCCATGCCGAGAGATCCCTCCACGAGGGACATGCGGGCCGCCCCCCGGGGTGGTGCGAAGCTTTGTCTTCAGGATCAGGCGGGTTCTTCCATTTGATGATCGCTTGGTGGCCAGCCTTTATGTGCTGTTTCAGTCTCTTGCTATCGGCTGGCTTTGGGCCTTTGGCTGCTGTGCTGGAAGATTTTTCATAAGTGGAGTTGTGAGGAAGCCTTGCTGCTTTTGGTACAGCTGTGGCGGCTTCTCCTGCTGGCTCTGTGTTACCTGACTTTTGCTATGGGAGCAGGCAGGGCTTTGACGTGTCTGCTTCGCAACTCTGGGCCATGCGCTCCAGAATGCCCGGGCGCTCGCGACGTCGAGCTGCTTCTCCCGTTCGGCTTGCAGTGGAACCTGGGGGCGGAGATGCTGTGGCTCATGATGGGGACGCTTGTGGCGGGTGCTGCGACTCGTAGGAAGCGAACTGAGAGGCTGCTGGCGGGGCTCCAAGGCCTCCCTTCTTCATGGAGTCATGTCGAGGAGGAGGCCGATGAGGATGATGGCTGCGAGCAGCTCTTTGCTCAGCTTGCGCCTTTTCTGTGGAGAAGCCTTCGAACCCTCTCCAGCCTCTTCAGAAGATCTTCGATGACTGGAACAGCTCGGCAAAGGAGCCTGGTCCTGCGATGATGCTGATTATGGCCAGCAGTGGGCTGGCTGCGTGGCCCTCTCCTGCGCCCTTTTGGTGGCATCATGGCGGTCGCTTAAAAATCACAAGAGGTGAACTCTTGAACGTGGCAGGATGTAAGGCATCGTCCTGGTCGCGAGAAACAACACCGAGGTGTAGGCTGTGGGAAGTTTAGGGGTTTCGGGCTTAAGAAAAACATGACAAACAAGGTCAAACCACCCCAACACCCTATACCTTGAATGCCATCGGTGCATTCATGGGGCTGCAAAACAATATTGAATAGGTTCGGGGTGGTTGTGTTCATGTGTTGGATGAGGTCAGGAGTTGATCCGTGTGTTGATGCTTTTGGGTTAACGTTAGGGCTAATCGGTTCGTTGTGGGTGGTGTGGCCAGGCTTAAAACAAAGTTGAAGTTGGGCTGGGATCGGGTTGCTTATACTGTGAAGCACTGTGCCGGGCATCCATTGCAGCTCCCCGAGGATGCCAACAAGCGCCAGCTTTTGTCAAAACTGCTGGTTGCCGGAGCTGCTTTTGCTGCTTCCCATCCCAAGGCCTTGAAATCCCTGGATCAGTGATGGGTTGTTGACTCCGGTTGAATTTGAATAATCGTGTGTGTGTGTTGTTTGGCCCAAGCTAGGCAAATCCATCCGAGGAATGCGGCCCGCACCCAGAATGGATGACACAAATCAATTGCGCACGTAAATTACCATGCAGCAGAGTCCATTGCAGGGTAGATTTGGACAACGGCTGTTTGTTCGGAGCAAATAGCATGCCAGGACGCGAGGGAGCTTCTGAATCCAGCAAAGCTGGCGGTGCTGCTGTCGGCACTGCGCAGACACGAAAGGACGGCCTAGTGGATGATGTTTGAAATCTTGCCTTCGTTTTTTGCTCTTCTAGTTTGCCACAGTGCTACTGTCCACTTAGTTGAAACTTTTGCGACGGATCATGCAAGCTTCAGTTGCGCGGACTTGAGGCAAGGCATTCGCATTTGCACGGCACGTCTTTCGCAGGCCTTTTGCAGCTTGTGGTGTGACGCCTGCTATCGTCGTGGCAAGCTGTCGGAAGCCGAGCTGTTGTTCGAGAAGAACGAAAGCTTCCTATTGCAAGTGGCGGATGAATGTTCAGGCCTTGCCATCTCTGCAGCATACCTAGTGCGGCATTTGCAGCCACTTCTCAGCAGATGGGTGAAGGTGTCCATTTTCCTGGAGCGTATGTCCTGTCAGCTGCCACGTAAGGTAGATGTGGCACTGTGCTGAGAGCTCGAGAAGATGAGCAGCAGAAGCAGAAGCAACAGGCAAAACAGTCAAGAATTGAAATTAACTTCGAGACCCACGCCCTCGCCCAGCCAAGCAGCCAGCAGGCCAGCCGGCTGTTGTATCTGCCTCGCCGCCAATCTCTATGGAAGTCTTCAACATAGCATAGCACAGCAGCTGCCACACTTGGCAATTCCGAAAGCAGCTGCTCTCTTCAGCCTGCGTCTTTGTTTCACGCTGCAACACGTGCAGTATCTCGGCTGCTCTGCAGCCACCGTAGCTTTCGGACGTTCATCTTTTCGCTGCATCGGGGCAGTGAGCCCCCAGCAGCAGCTGCAAAAAAGCGGAGAGCCCGAGAGTTTGAATTTCAAGTTTGTGCACTTTCCAAGCTCTGCACTTCCAGGTTAGTGCACTCCGAAGAAGCTCCGGAAGAGGCTCTGTCCCCAAAACTGTGCGGGGAGGTTGATTATCAGGCTTCATGCTCCTGGGCACTCGATGCAGTACTTCATCCCGTCCTCGCATTGCTGCTTGTGCTTGCCACAACACGGCCTCTTCAGGGAGGCGCAGTCCTGGGCACCTCAACAGTGAAGCTTACTGCGGAGGTCAGCGCGACCTCGACGCCAACCTGCACGAGGACGGCAGAGTGGTTATTTGCTGACGCATGCATTGCTACTCCGGTTCTCATGGTGTCCGCAGGGCCGACGGGAGCGTCCCTGCCGTCCATGCGGCCTTCTATCTGTGGCGCGGGCCCTAGACCCCAAACCCGAAAACCCTTAAACCCCAAATCGCTCAACCCTAAATCTCCAGACCCTAAGCCCTAGAAACACAGCTTGCCAGCCTGAAAGCACGAGCTCCGGCAGGTATGGCACTCCAGAGGTTTCAGCCTGAGATTTCAGTTTGGGCATGAGCTGTCATGCAGCACCTGAGTCCAGGCGAGCTCAGCCATCACTGTCCGATGAGAAGCTTGTGAGGTGGATGGCAAGTGGCTGCACTGGGATCACAAGGCGGCTGCACTTATTCCAAGCCATGCTGGGAAAAGGATTACCGGCCAGGTGCTTCCTCATTGGGACAAGGAGGTGCCGGCAAACTGGCCATCTTGTGGCTTTGAAGTTCTAGCCGTGGCACTAAGTAGCCAGGTGGATGCCAAATATGACAAGTTCAATTGGAGCCCACCAGACGAGTCCGAGACCCGCCGATTTAGATCAGTGCCTGCAACATTGATGACCGCACGCACAAAGATATGATTTGTAGATGTGCATGCCACGATGTGCCATGCAAAGGCCCCACGCCACCTTCTATCCTGAAAGGGGCCCATATAGGCCCACGCTCCCGAGCATGCGTGACCGGGATGCGCATGTGTCTACACCTGGCTTCTGCCCCAGCTCAAGCGACGAGTCCATCCTCCTGAGCCAGTTTGAGGATTTGGCGAAGGCAGCGAGCACGCTCGGGGTTCGTCTGTTTACAAGCACTGCTCATGTTGTTCCAGGCAGGTATTGACTCCGCAATGTGTTCATGGTGGGGGCGAAAGGCCTTTGTGCAGCCCAAGTCAGATGCCGTTCTCTCGGCCTTGTGCAATGGAGGACTGGGCCGGCAAGCGAGATGATGCCGACTCAGGCGAAGATGTGATATCAAGAGTCCAGGGTCCGCGTCCCTCTCTGAAAACTGCTTTCTGTTGACACGCCTTTCGCGTTGGGCGAGTCGTGGTGGCTAGTATTGTACGATGAGTGAGGCGAGCATGTAGCAACAGCGCCGGCGCCAATCAGTCTGCTCTCCTTAGAGCTGGTATTCCCCGACCAGCAGACGCTCTTGAGGAAGCTTGCTGCTGGAAATCGTGGCAAGGACGATATCGCACATGTCCCATGTCCTGACTCTGATTGGAAGCTTCTGAACGACCAGCCAGATTGTCCATGGCATGCAGGTGCCAACACGGATGAGCTCATTCCATCGGTGCTCGAGGCTTTTTCCTTTGGCTGTGCAAACCTTCTCTTGTGTAGCCACGTGGAAAAAATCGAAGCATCTTTGGAAGATTTCGGCCTCAAGTCTTCGACATGTTGCAGGCTGCAGAAAAAGCCGGCGTTTTCGTGCAGGGGCCATTGGCAAGTCTTCGTGACTTTGGCTTTCTGCTGCGCGAGCTCAGATCCTTCCACATCGAGCCGTACGGGGGCCGGTCCCCACAAACGCCATAGCCTCGTGGCCTCGTCTCGTATCTCGACTGAAGACGAGATGCTTGAACGATCCGTGAGGTTCTTGGATGACCTCGCCTACATCGTCCGCGAGTACGGGCACCACCCAGCCATCTGGCGTGAGGTGCTGCGCCGCTTGCTGCCGAGCTGCCGTTGCCTGGCTAACTTCTGCACGCGGCTGCAGGGACCAAAGAAGCTGCCACTCTTCTGGTTGTATGATGCATGCTCCTCAGGCACTTCAAGACCCTCGGCAGAGCCTGCAAAAGAGCACAGCAGGGCGTTTTTTCATGTGTGCTTTTGAGGATGACTCGTCAGGTCTCGGCCCAGCATTCCATGCAGGATATCGCTGCTTGGAAGGAGGCAACCGGGCCGCTTTTCGTGTAGTGCCTGGGCATCCTTGAGATCTCTGCCAACGTTACGGAGGCACTCGATTCCGTACGAGGCACCGAGTTGGACGGCGTGTTCCTGTGCTGAGCTCTGAGCGTTCAGGGTTCGTGGAGGCATGAATACTGTATCAGAATGTATGTTCGATCCGCAGGGCAGACGCTGCTGCGTGCGGGCTCGAGCTTGTCCAAATGTCAGACTAAGTGATATTATCTGACAGTCCGCTTTGAAGAATGCACTGGCTGGGAGGGCGGACAGCGTGGACAGCTTTACGAAGCTCAAAAAAGACGACATTGATCACAGGGGATCGCAGGAAGCTGGTCGGACAGAGCTCACCAGCTCTTGGAGTGAGAAGATTCGACGCTTAGCTCTGCGATCCATTGGTGATCCTGTGGCTCTCGTCGGCTTGTTCCGCTCAGTCCCTCGCATCAGATGGGATTCTGAGAGGTCGGCACTTCACGAAGCTGGGACCTGCCGAAGATCAGCATGACGTCACATCTCATGACCTCAAACATTTGCGAAGGATTTCAAGTTTGCCTAGCCACCTAAGGCAAGGAAGGTCGAGAGTTTCGAACGGCATTGGCGACACGTATGTGCAAAGGCACAGCACGAACGTCTCTGCGTCAAGCGTACACAGCCAGCATCCGCTCGATGTATCCTTGAGTGTGTTGTATGCTGCATTTGGGCTCTTGGCCAAGCCTCTGCTGCCAATGGGTGTGATGCCCGTCAGACTGCAAGCGGCCAAGAAACCCTGCTAGACTTTCGCTGCTTGACAGACTGAACCTCGTGTGTGCAATACGGGTTCAAGAGCTTGCGAGCCTTCGAATCAGGGTCCCTGGCGCATGCGCCGACGCTCGGCTGGCCGGGGTGGACTGCGGCCGACCAGCGTTGCCGCCTCAGAGGACCTGGCATCTTCTCAGGCAACCAGTGCCTGACAGTGTAAGGGCACAAGCTCCGCAAAGCGACGCTTTGGAACCAGGCACACCTGTCGGCACACTCAACGCACCACTAGCAAGACCCGAAGCCGGACTCAAGACAACACACAAGGGAACAGGAGATGCTCAGGAGGAGACTCCCACCAAGCGGTATCGGATTGCACATGCCTATGCTTCCCAGAGAGCATGCTGCATGACGCGGGTCCTTTGCCATCGAAGAAAGCTACATCCTATATGGTTATGTGCATTCCGAGAATGCAGCTGCCAACAAGCAGTCGAGTACAGATGTCAACACCCGGATGCTGCGATTAGGAGCTGCATTGCTAAGGCGCCAAGGCTGGCAAAGAGCTTCGAGCCTGGAGGAGGATTCCCTGCGCTTAGAGCATGTAAGTAAGTGTGAGCATCCTCAAGCTTCAACACCATCATGCAAGCCGAATGTAGTCGAACGACTGCTTGCAAGGAGATGCGACAGTAAAGGGTCATCCAAACCCTTTCAAAGTGTGGAGCACAGTTCGTGCAGCTGAAGACGTTTAATCCTGGTTTCAAGCGGCAGAGCACCTACCTGCAACATTTCTGAGGCAGAACATGCGCTCGCCTACCAAGTTTGAAACGGTTCGATGGAGCTGCGCTCTCGGTTCAAGATTCGAAACGTTTACATGGTGCCAGGCAGTTTCTTCAAGAGCGGCGACAGAAGTCCCCTGCAGCAGGCGCTGAAGTGCGGGAAGACTGGCAGTTGCTTCCTTCTCGGTCTGTGGAGTTCTGCCAGGTGCCAGAAAGGGCGCTCCGACGGGAGGCAATGCAGCAGAAGTGTAGCTGCCTTAGCAATGACGGCCCGCATGACATAGAGGGGTCATCGGCATCATCGACCTTTATCAAGATTCGCACCTGCAGGTTGATGCTTAGCATAAAGATCGCCTAATGATTTGTTTCTCGGTTCGCGTTGCTACAAACATGTGTTTGTCTCAAAGTCGGACGGCTGGACATAGTGGTGATGTGTGCCACGACGATTGGCTGTTGATGTTCATGAAGCTGCTGGTCTGTGCTAACGACATCGGTGACTAAGGTCTATGCGGTGTTGTTAAGCGAGTTTCACAGGTCAGACACGCAAGGGCAGTTGTCTTGACGAGTTTTTGCATGTTCTTTCATGTGGTGGATCCCAGGAAGAAGCTTCGACAGCGGCAGCGAGAACACTTGGCTTCTTCACTTAGCGCTTGGAAGACTCTGTCTGCCAGCTGCCGCTTCGGTGTATCTCCGTTGCATGAAGTTCCGAGGTTCTGCAGAATCTAGAGCGCCTTGAAGACAAGCACACTGCGCAGACCTCGGACCCTCAGCTTCGCTTCGCCGCTTCGCAAGCTGCGCTGCGTGACATCTCTGCAAGGCAGCCCGTGCTGTGCAGGCACTGGAGGAGGCACGATCAAAGCATTGAGTCTGTTGAGTTAAATGTAGGTAGCATGAGTGTTGCCATGTTTGTCAAGGTCATCGGGACCTCGACTTCGGTGGAAGAGCTGAACCGATTCCTTCGCCTTGGTTTTGACAGCAAGAGACCACTCGCCTTCGTCTCAGCTCCGAATCTTTGCGGTGCCGGAGATTCTCGAGCTTTGCAGTCAAGGTCGCACCCAAAGCCCGCCAAGAGCAGTTGCTGTTGCTGCGATCAATAGCCTTCTTCTCAGCGCTCAAGATCGAAAGCATTGCGTCAGTGCAGACCGATCACGTGTATGGAGGTTCGGCAGTTCCACAGCCTTGGCGGGGAAGATACTTCTGCTGCTACAGCCGCACTGAAGGATCAGCGCCGGCACGTGAGAAATTGACTCGTATGAAGCTTCTTCTTCTCGTGGCGGCTAGTTCACCCATGTTCTCAGTGAAAGAGCCATCTGTACCAAACGCAAATAGCTGCAGGAGCGAGTCATGCCCGGACCCAAGTTGATTTGTTGCCGCTTTGGGCCTTCATCATTCCGACAGCTGCAGCATGCCGAACGTGTTGGATCGAGCCAAGCCGCTGAAAGCCAAAGCCGAACCACATAGCGCCAGTGAACCACTCCCCCAGCCCCGTTGAACGCTTCGCCAACCTTCGAGCATGTGGATGGTCCTCCGCCTGGGAACTGCTTGCCTCTATGCAGGCTTGCAGTCTGGTTCCGCAAGGAGATGAAAACGGGCTTCTGAGCTGGTCATACCCCACCATCTTTCGGGGGAGCAGTGTTAATAGGTTGCACATTGACGGGCCTTTCTACATTCAACAGCCTCTCTTTCTGAAGTTCCTGGTTCTCCTTGTGCATGTCCTACTTTCCGAAATTTGGGAACAGGAGACGTTTGACATGACTCATGTCGCGTGAGCATGAGTCTCTCCGCTGGTGTGTGCGTGTGTGCATGCGTCAGCTGTCTGTAGCCATGGACTCGCAGGTGGAGCTTTACTGTTTGCCCTTCTCGCCCGGCGACATGTCAAGATGATTCAGTTTAAGTCGGTTCCCAACCCTCTTGATTGGATTTCATCGGCGCGCATTGCGAAACACTGTGGCGCTGAGTCCACAAGCAGTTTAAGATGTGGCGTCCAAGGCTTCTTTACGTGACTTTCTTTCGGAAGAAAGCCTACGAGCTGACAGGTTCGGGACTCGGCACGGAGGAAGCGAAGTCTTCCTGCTTGATTTGGCAGGCCTCTGCTGCGCCGTTACTGGGGCATCGGATGGTCTTGGCGTGTACATAGCAAACGCGCTGGCCGCAGAGAAGGCGCAGTTAAAGCTTCATTCGAAGTTTCCTTGCTCGTATAGTTTCCTTGCCAGTGTCCAGCAGCCCTGCTCTCAGGTTAGCAAGCTGGTTCTCGGAGCTCGCAGAGAAGAGAAGCTGCAGGAGGTGAAGGCAGCATTGTGACATCGACTGACAATGCCACAGCTGAGTCCACGGCGCGGCTCTGGCCAGGCAGATCTCATGAAGCGTTTTCCAAGTTTGGAGGCTGCGGGCCTTGGAAACCGTGCCCTTGATTCGTTGCTCTTTCGTGAGGGTCGCGCATGCGAGGTTCTCACGGTCAAGCTGGATGTAACAGCGGCTCAGAAACGATCTAGTTAAATCTGTTGCGATGCTTCCTGTTGCTTCGTGTATGCTACTGTCTCGGTGTTGGGCAGACAAGCTGAGGACAGCAACAGCCGCAGTGAGTTCCTCCGCAGGGCGACGGCCTTTGGACCTTGCCAGGTCCTGGTCAACAACGCCGGTGTTGATAGGCCTTCTTCCTTGAAGCGGTGTTATGTTTAGCCGTTCAGCCAAAGAGATCGACCTTGTCAGGAATGCCTTTTTCGACGCGATGTCAGACAGTGATGTGGCTTGGTCCAAGCAGACTTTCAGTGGGTCACTTCTGAGCGTCTCTAACCACTTCTTCGCGTTCGCGCACACACATCCGAGATGGATGCCATGCTACAGACAAATCTTGTTGGCACAATCCACCTGACGAAGATTTTCCTGCAAGAGATGATGAAGGCTCAGCAAGCTGCAAACAGTCCAGCACACACGGTCTGAATACTCTTGCCAGGGCCAGCGCGGCCACGTGGTCAACATCTCTTCCATCTCTGCCAAGGTTGCATTGTGCATGGCTGTCAGCGGCAATACTCAAAACATGACATGTTAAAAGCACCGAGCTTGGCGGAGCTGCGCCAGTTCGCGGTTCCTTTCGGCAGCATCTACGGCGCATCAAAGGCAGGATGTGGGGTGACTTTTCAAGTATGATGAAGACTTCAGATTCGTTGGCAGTGGTTTTCAGCTTGTGTGCCACATACCGCCTCAGGCTGCTTTGTCTTCGCTTACTGCCTCGCTTCGACTCGAGATGATCCTCGAGAAGACCCTTGGCAGCATGACCACCGCTTCTGGCACAGAGATTGGTCTTTGCGCGTTGTTGACAACGTCTTGAGATTGAGGAGACCTGTTACTTTCCACTGTGTGTCTCCGGGATTGGTCGTCGATGCCGGCATGGCTGCAAAGACGTCGGACAAACTGGGTGCGCACCTTATGCATCTCAATATGATGAAACGAGATTAACCACGTGATACAACAGTTAGAATGTACTCCCACAGCAACGTCCAAGCGTACCTGGCCAAGGAGTGTCCGTCAGAAGAGCAGGTGGATTTGTTGGATGGACTACACCGGAGAAAGTTGCAAACGCCGTGGTC